TAACGTCAAAAATCGAATTATTGCCTGTTGAATGTTTGTGTAGCCAATCAGCGACCAGCATCAAATGACATATTCCATTCAATTCTCATTAATGCACGAAAATAAAACATTTTCCTTTATATGTATCGTTAAGTGAAATGTTTCACGATATTTATCACTTTTGCTTCGCGGTACTGAATAATGTTTGCATTTTTGTTCTCGGCAAAAAAGTCAATTTCATACTGTTTTACAGTACAAAATCCAAAAAGTCAAGCAATAAAATCGTCATAAAATACTCATTATTTCAGAGAAGCAATGCGTCTTATTCGAACGCAAATTGGAATAAAAGTACATTATCTATGAATTCTTGGGAACCCACTTTTATGAATGAAAAATAGCATACCATAAATTTAAAACAGACGCGCATACATAAAACGAAGTCGGTGATGCCACAAATCTAACTTGAAAAATAAAATCATATTGAAACCTCACAAGATTCCGGATCAAATTGTAATTGAAATAGCAATGGTATTTTGTTGTGTTTCTTTTTTTTCCCACTCGGAGTATGTGTCACTGTTTACGATCCAACTTTATTTTTTTTCCTTTTCATACACAGAACGAAAAGGCGACTATTACATTGACAATCAATAAATGTCGACCCAATGATTTTTTGCATTTTATGCAACATTGATTCCGGTTGTGTGTAGGTTTGAATCCAATGCAAACACGATGTTTAACAAATGACATACAAAAGTACTTGCAGTGCACAAATAACGCAATAAAGCCAAGTGATAAATTAAGATATCACATCATTTTCACTGTGAAATCATACAACAACATCTAGTCGACCGAGAACGCGTGAATGTGGACGACAAAACCGATAAATGTAGCCGGATGACTTCGTTGTCGTGATGCAAGTATAAACAAATGAAATTATACAAATGCAGCAATGACGAATAAAATGCAAATGTTTTTACAAATAAATGCAATCGCTCTGCAAAGCATTCGCATTTTATCATTCGTTACGAGTACTATACAATAAAAGTTAATCATCAGCACATTTACTCAGAATAACAACATTTTAGCACTATTCTTTTTACTCTTAATGGCGGTTCACGTGTTAAATATTATGTTTACAATTGACATTATAAATGTTTTCAAATGAGACGCATAATTTCATAAGCTTGATAATGACAAAAAACATTTTGAATATTTTACAATGCATTTCAAATGAACTTCTCAATAAAAACTGAACACACTTTTGAGTAAAGAAAGCTCAGATGATCTGAGTCAGATCAAATATATGCTTCAAACGTCTAGAAAACTCGCAAAACTTCACAGATTAGTAACCTGTTATACATTTTAATTTATTATCCAATTTTTAATTTGTATTGGTAACTTATGATTCACAAAAATATCTCATTTTATAGCTATGGGAAGTCTAAAATTTTGGCATTATGACTCAACTATACATCGTATGTCCAACAAAAATCTCAGCGAATACAGTATTAAAAAAAATCATCCCACATCAAACGAAAAGTCGAAAAACTGAAACATAATAACGAATTCTACTCGAACGTTTTGAAAAGAAAAGTTTGATGAGTTTATGGGACTAGTGAGGAGGATTTTGCGCATTCAGTTCACCCAAAAGAAAAGATTGAATGAAAAGAGAACAAAATTATGAAAAAAATGATTTTTTGCCATTGCACACATTTCTGATGTTGATGGAGTTGTGTTGATTCATATAATTCCAAATTCAGTATGTATTTCATAGCGGATATGCAAGCTGTTTTGAGTTAATCTTTATGCCTTCATCACAAAACGTGATTGAATTGAACAAGTTTGTGTATGTAGCGTGTGAATTGTGAAAATAAGCATATCAGATGCGGTAGAAATCAAAGCAAACTTCTAATTGATAAGTTGTCACTAATCTTTATATCTTTGGAAATGAATACAAACACAACGAAACCAAAAATTTCCCAATTTTTACAACGGGTTCATTTCTTTCGTTCCGCTAGAGCTCAAACACGACTAATTACAAAGTTAAACACACTTTGGACTGCACTATCTCAACGATTTTTTTTTCATTTCATTTCAACGTAGATTTTTACAAATCAGAACTTGAAAGTGATAAATATCAAAAATTGTATCATTTCTGATTTTTTTTTTAAATAAATATAACTTCGACTCTGATGTATATATAAAACACTACCAAGAGAATACACACCTCTCTTTCTCGAATATTTATGAATATAGCCATTTAAATGGGTTAAAGTTGAGCAAATAATTCAAATTTGAATTTATGTTGGATAAATCCAATTTTTTTAATATGTGTTCAAAAAATACCACATTCATTAATTTCATTCCTTGAAAACAGTCTCACTGTTCACCAACGCCCAAAAAACGGAAATTTAATCCAGTTCCAGTCTGTCATTATATATTTTATTTCGTATAACATTGAAAAATAAAAATGATCATTTCACAACCGCAAAACTATCGCAATCGTTCATTTGGTGGATGGATAAAGTAATTTTGCATAAATTTGAAGCGTCAAAACATGTGTTGTCAATACAGTGCAAAAAAGCATTCATAATGTAAAACGATATTGCAAAATCTTCATGTGCTGGTCCCACATATGTGTGCTTCATTCTCGCTAAATATATTTCGTATAAAATACATAAAATTTGATTCACACTTCTTCGTGGTATTTGAAACGGAAGTCTTTAATACAACACATACTATGAAACATTCGAGATAGAAAGAGATTGAATCTTGTTAAAGAAATCTTCACATCTGTTTTATGTGAGAGTACGATGAAAGATTTTATTTAGATCGCGAGATGCATTTAATACGTATGATACAATATATCGTAAATAGGCATTGGAAGTTCAAGTATTTTATTATTTTTTCTTGCTCATTTCAAGTTCAAATTTTATGATGAAAAAGGCTAAGTGCTTAGAAAATTGCATATGTTCATCAAGATAAATGAATCAAATATCGCGCAAGTGAGTGAACTAAATTCTCATCGTATGAAATGTTTGTTTCATGCACAATATTCATTTCGTCGTCATTGGTGGCAATGGAATCTCTTGGAATCATAACATTAAGAGCATTCTTTTTTTAAATTTAAGCCATGGAATCTCAATATTTACAAATGAAATGTCACTTCATATTTTCAAATGAGGTATAAAAATAGCTTGGGCGTTCTTATATACAAATGTCTCAAATTCCAGAACGGCGACAGAATTGTTGAGGAGACAAAATCAAACAAAAATGTACGTTTGATAAAAATAGAATCGAAATAAAACCTTAGAATGTGCGAGTTTTACTTGAACCGATGGCATCGTCAAACGGTACAGAACAAAATGAATGAATAAATAATAATGTAAATGAACGAAATGCGTTCAGCGTCTTTTTCTGCTTCTGTCGCTATGTGATATCACATAACTGTCGCATGCTTCTTTTTCTCAGATATATTAATATTATGATGTTTTGCCCTCTTCGCTCACACATGCTGACCTCAGTGGAATGCAAACGCAATGACTGTTTCAATTTAAATGAAAGTGCTTTGTTTGCTGTACATTGTAATTAATGTCAATGTGACCCAATGGATAAAAATATATACGGTCGTACGATATAAAGTGTACTTTTTTGGTGTTAATTTGTAATTGCGTCGGATTAAAATGAAATTTCGCTGTAGCGACATTTATTGATCGTATACATTTTTAATATAAAATTCAGTGTGCAAACGTATAAAAGTGTTGATTTCGGATTTACATTTTTTGAAGAAAACTTATTTGTACAGGGAGGAGAGAGCGAGAGAGAGATGAATAAGAAATATATATCATATGCGATGCAAGAGATGAAATTAATATCAAAATTCCAAACGGAAAATTAAACGGACTGGGAAAAGTAAATATTTTGATTCGAAAGGCACGATGCCGTTTGTCGTTCATATTGTTTTGTGGCGCTCTTCCTGTTCTGTGTGCACATTTCACCACCAAAAAGACTGAGATATTGCTACCTAAATATTTGCATTATGGCAACGATGGCGCGCAAATTTCATATACTTTGTTTATTTCGGAATCTTTGCTTTTTCTCACACTGAAATTCGACTTTTTTCTGTCTCACATTGAATCAACAAACACTTTTCACTTGTTTCATATTTTTATGCTTGCATACTAAACGCTATTCAATTATTTGTTGCACTTCCATTTACTTCCTCCCAAACCGTTTGCTAAATCAAAAACAAAAAAGAAAACAATGAAAGGAACTGTTTTCACATGTAACACAATATGATGCGTGATGATGCTTTAATTGCCTTTCGTCGAACTTCTCACTTTCCGACTGAGCCATGATTTGAATTTAATTGTTTGCATTTTGAATTGATGCATCTTTGATGTGTTTGACGATATATGAGCTCCATTGTTACGATGCTCGAATAACTCACCGGCAAGTGTGCATTGAATTACTAAGGAAAAAGTGAAATCACCGACACTTCAAATGTAAATTAATGAATTGCACATGATTGATTGCAGCCGATTGCAACTGTTCGATATGACATAGTAGATTGTGATGTTGCGCGTTAAAAGAGTCGGTAAGTCGCCTTTGATTTTATTGTTGCTCGTGCACTCAATTCAATTGGCTGGAATATATTTCTTCAAGGCAACCGAGCGCAAATAAAACGGCAACTGCGTGAGAGAGAAAAAAAAGTACTAAATTGCTGACATTAATAATAATAATAAAAAGAAGAACGTAATTGAAATAAGCACAAACAATTTTCGTTTGTCGATTATAAATGCAGTGGCGATAAATAATGCAAGTAGCAGACAGCGTGTTAGCGATTGCGATGTGACGATATTTTGTGGCATTTCAGTTTTTGCTCGTAAAATGCTCAGTGGAAAAGTGATAGGAAAATTCAAAAGGGGCCGCCTATATTTTATTCAAAGTTCATTCAATGACACATTTCTCATGTCAAATGATAAGCGATTGGAATTTTTTCTGATTGTACTACTAATTCAGATGAACATTCGAGCTTCGAGGCTAGTTCCATAGACGTAAATTCAGTGCTTTTATGGTGAAGTCTCTTTGAGTGAGAAGAGACAGACACAGTTTTAAAACGGAAATCACGGTTTTTACGATTTTTCGAAAATCTTGATGTCCATACGAACGGCAAACGTCAAATCAAATAATGTTTTTCATTAATTTTTCACGGTGTCGCTCCTTTGATAGCGCCGACATAGTGAGAAACACCAACAACAATCCGGAGACACCCGATTCAATCCGTGAGTGTAAAAATAACATTAAACATTTCGGCAAGATTAATTGTCAATCGTTTTCAATTTGATCGTGCGTCTCGTCAAAGCAAACAAATTCACTGAAGATGAATTAATCGCTGAGCAAAATAATACTATATACAGTTAATAAAGGTGTACTATTCGGTTCTGGCGATGGTGTTGTAAAAACAATTAATCAATTTCGAGAAGAAAACAAAATGCTTATTTAGCAACCTCAACCGCGTGGTTGCCAAGAGACAAATACTGCATTGAATAAATGAGTCGCACACAAACAGTTAATTTTTGGAAAGTGTCATTTTGAATCGGCGGTAAATGAAGCACAACACGATCATAATGTCTGATTAATTTATTGAAATTCAATTTGCATTAATTTGCTGAATGGAGCCAATATTTTTTTTCCACGCTGTTTGTCGTTTCCTCGCATTCCTCTTCATTTTTCACTGGCATTTCAGTTTGCATTTGATTTTTTGCGGTCTTTCTCACTGCACGCAAAAGCCAATAGTCAAATTATAATTAACCAATTTTTCATCATTCACTACAATGATTATTGCGAAATTGTGAAAATGACTGTTGATTCGTGTAACAAAGCATTGATTTTAATTTAATTTTTCCACATTATTCTTGCGCGTGCCAATATTTTTTTATTCGCTTGTTGTAATGTGGGCAAGCTTCAATAAAGACGGCTATTTCATCGATTAAATTAAAAGTTGGTGATTGAGACTGACAGGCAACCACGAATTGAATGTTTATTTGTTTTTCATTGATGCCACGCAGTTGTAACTTTTACGTGGTATTTTCTATTTGTGTTTTTCAGTTTTCAACATTTATTGAGTGAACAAAAAAACAGCGGCAACCACCATATCAAACGCTTTATAAAAACCAAATTGAATTTGCATTCGGTGTAAAATAATGACATTATAGAGATGCAATAAATTGCAAACTCAGAGAGTAATTGTAATTGCTTTTGAATTTTGTGCTTTTGTGTTTGTGAGAGGTTTTTTTTCAATCTTTCATGATATTCCGTTTCATCCGATTCTTTTTGTTTCAAATTGATTACTTTGAGTGGTTAGTGCATTTTTTTTAAATTCGCAGTCCGATGGAGATTTCTCTATTTTTTGCTAAAGTTTTATATTCACATCAATTAAACGTTTCTTTCTAAAACGATATCAATTTCATTTTGTGATATATCAAATACTTCAATCAAACATGCATATCGATTGCTGTCATATAGATTTTCAGACGATCTCATCAAACCGCAAGACTTCCAAGATATTTCTTCGTAGTCAATATATTACTACTCGCCTGCATTTAAATTTGTTTTATTATATATGCAATAATGAACAACAAAGCGTAAACGTTTTTATGATTGAAAGCATCTATTCGATGATGCTAATGGAACACTTGCATTAAGTCAATATGGCGATATATAAGTGTCCATAAATACCTAAATCACTCGTTTGTCACATACACAATACGTTAAAATATCGAGACAATGTGAATCATTTGAGGTATTATTTTAAATCAATACATTGTCGTATTACACATATTGTCTAACTGGAAACTATCTTTTTGATCGGAGAATTATAACTAAAGGACAATATCTAGCACAAGCACTATTTTAAATGGCATTGCATACCAAATTCAACTAATTGAACCTAGAAAAAAAGCTATTGAATTTTTCTGTGAATGATGATAAAATAATGATTTTCTGTGCGGCTGCCTTTTTACTGCAATTAACTGAGTAATTGAATTACAAACGCGTTCAATTTACGTATTCATTATTATAAATAACTTGAAAAAATTCTATTAAATACACTTCATTGGATTTAAATGCAAAGCTGTCTTTAAAATTGTTGTTTTTTTTATAAAATATGGCCTACAAATCTCATTTAAATGAAAAATATTCATGAAATTCATTTGATTTTTTGTCGATTGGCCGCCCGTTCTGAGAAAAATCTGTTGATGATTTGAGATGTGAAAAAAAAAACAACTCTTGATTTTATTCTGTAATTTGCAAACAATGAATGCAGTCATTCTATTAGTAAACTGCCTGTCCACATTGATTGGTGAATAATGCTAATTATATACTTTAAAATGTGTCTAATAAGATTCACCAAAACGTAAAACAATTCAAATGTTAAAAGTTCGTCTTTTTATAGCCAATGATTATAAATATTCGTTGGTATAACAATGAACAATTTGATAGCAAACAACATTTCTAATATTTTCTAATACTATCTGTATCAGCTATCACTAAATTCATCTAAACCAATATGTTGAATTGATGAATGTAATCTTGAATTGACAAGTGAAGCATTTAAAATAGAAAAGCAATATTGAGCGATGCACATTTGGACATGTTGATTGTTTGGCGATACGTTTTCCGCAATCCAATTAATCGATTCAAAGCGAATAAACAAACGATTTGTTACGTGGGATATAATTGTAAAAATGTACACCTCACAGTAGTCAAGCGTGTCAATATGACGTTCGTTCTTTACATGCATATAAAATTTTGAGTTGAACATTTTCATTTGCATAATATCAAGTGAATTTGTTATTTGTTGCATCGATTTACACAAATAGTGCGTAAAATTCAATAAATAATATTCATAAGATGATAAGATCTTGATTTCCGTCACTTAATGTATCGCATTTCGAATAATAAGGTAAATACAAAACAGTGGCAACAGGTTTTCTTAAACCATACGATTCCATTAAGAAAATTACTATGAATGTGAAAAATTGGCCGACATTCACTTTGAGTTATGTCATCGATATTGGCCTATACATATAGCAAACATTATAAATGATATGCTGTTGTCTGCACAGGCGCAACCAATTCAAAGAGATGAAAAATCGATACAAAATATTTCAATTATTCCGCCATCGAACAAACATGAGGCGATAAATAATATCTGCGCAGTTCGTACACAGCATATCGTACCAAAAACTGAAACTTATTCCAATTGATCTAATTACTTTGAATGCGCATAAATATACCGACATCACCGCTAGTTTTAAATGAACAAACGTTCGCTATCGGACTACAAACAACAATTGTTCAAAACGATATGCATGCAAATTTCGGTTCAGTTCGATTAAATTGAGAACGAAACGAAATACAAACAGAATGTGAACAGGGTCTTAGTAGGTCGATTTAGTGTGCTTTCGAACCGCGTGGGTGCACAATAATTGCAATTTATTAAATTGCACAAGTAAAAAAGATCGAATTATCATTCGATTGGCAGTACTTATTGCTTAATCCACTTCGACATTACATTTAGACGTTTACTTCACAAATAATGCCGAATATATAAACGCAATTTATGGAAATTGTAAATTTATTTAAAGAAAAGAGTATTGCGTGGTTTTTACACTCAATATCATACAACAGCATCTGCAATTCTGTCTTGATAACTACTTCTTAAATTCGGATTTACAATTAACTTCGTGAATCGAGTAAACATTAAATCAAACAATTCTTGAATAAAAAAAAACTACATTGTTTCATTGAATAAACGAATTTAAAGAGGAAACAAAATACGGAACAAGTTTAAGGAAAATATATAAATGAGATCGCATACTTGGCCTTTGGACCAAGATTTTGAAAAATGAAGCATTGATAACAATCGGCAGCCAAATTTTAAACGCGTAAAAAATGTAAATATCGAAAGTCACAATAAATATTAAAACAGAATGCTGATTCAGAAATATATCTGCGGTGTTATTGAACCACTAATGTGGAACACATAAGACATTGATTAACTTTATCTCTTCATGTTCGAAATTAAGATCAACGTTTAAGCTTAAGCTGAAAACGCCTTACATTTTTCATTTATTTAAATTGCGTATTAAACAGAATAAATTGATCCGAACACAATCAGGTATTCTTTTTCTCGCATAATGAGACCCATTTCATTACTTTATTATTCGCAAAATAAATGCAAAGATCACAAATGGCGAAAATTAAAATTTAAATTTTATTGATTTCCGTTGAAATAATCGACTTAAACTAGTCTACAATACAATTAGTCTTATCATTTTAAATGTAGTGTTAATACTAAAACTAAAAGTTCGAATAACACTTTTTACTAACATTTCACCGTAATTCACATATATTTTTTTCCATCCAAAAATGTGAAGAATAAATAAAGCGCGTACACATAACTCAAACTAAACAGAGCGAAACTAATTGATTGTGATATAAGGCTTATAAAAATTGCTCACATTTTCAACTAATCGCAATCGAACCAAAAAAAAAGTTTCTTCCTCATACAGTCTTTGGAATGCACGAAGAAAACAAATAATTTGCCAATTCGGCAAAACCATTTATGTTTTTGCATTTGAAAGATACATTACAATAAATATTGATTCAGTTAAAGTATAATTTACCTATTTTATATTGAATGTCAAATGCAGACAAAAAGTATTTTATTTAATCGTAACGAAACATCTTCTTTGCATGGTACAAAATATAAGCAGCCCGTTTGAATGATTTTTTTGCCAAAATACGTTGCAGTTGAAATACTTCTTGATAAATGTAATTTGACATCTGTTTGGGCAAAGGTGAGAAACGAGAAACACTTTACTTTCAAACAATCATCAGACATATGCTTGGTCATGCTTGAATATGGTTAATTTTAGCCCATCTTTTGTCGGTCGTTTACATCAGATATTCTCATTCGAACTGTTATGGTTTTGTTCACAGTTTGCAGTAAAAGAAAATCAAGACACAAAATCTTCATGTTGAAAGATAATAATTAACAAGTTTATTTTTGGGAAGTAAAAATCTTGTCGTTTTAATTTTGCAAGAAAAATAAAATAAAAATTTAAATGGAAGTGCGGTGACAAGTCATAACGTTCATACCAAGAAAATAAATGATATGTCTCTGAATTTTTAATTTACCTGTTAAACATGAAAAACAACACGAGTGTTTGGATTTTAATGCGACATACGTCATGTTTTTAGTGAGTGAGCAAACAATGCTCAAGTAATATGCCATACGATTCATGTTTTTCATTTTAGAAAAAAACATAATGAAATTGAGAAATTCTATTTAATTCCAAATTTAGCAAGATTTTAAAAAATGATAAATTAATTTGCAATCTGTTTTGTTTACTTTTCAGATGAACCAAAATTAAATTCCGGCGCTTGGGAAGATCCGTTGCCCATATCGAATGCAACAAAAGGCAATAACAATCATTTGCATTCGATCGGATCGCGTCGTTCGGAACCATTTTCAGCCTTGCGTTTAAATAACAAATTAAATACGAATCCATTAAGTTCGGTAGCAGCCGCTGCTGCTGCAGCGGCCAGTCTACAAAACGGCAACTTCACATTAAACACAATACATCAGAATTTTAAAAATCGTAAAAGACTGGAACATACACCATCATCACGAACAGTCAGTTCCGATGAAGGCTGGTGCTCGGAACGTGGTTCGGAGCATGATTTTTCATCCGATGGCGAAGATGAGGATAAAAAAAGTATCAGTAGTCTTACATCAGTCAACACAAGAAACAGTCATTTACGATCGACACTAAATAAGGCAAAACAACATTTATCATTTGATAAATGGAGAAGTGGTGGCACGTCCAACAATCACTCAAATACATCATCCACAATGCCACCACCACAGCCAGAAATATTATCGCCGGGCGAGTCATCGCCTGGGGGTCGATTATCCAGGTGGTTTTCCATACGTCGCGGTTCAGCGCATCAATATGATTTCGGTGCAAGTAAACAATCCGGACGTGATAGCCGAGCAGGTAGCATTGAGTCCGAAGAAAAGTCAAAACAATCAGGAACATTAAATGGAACCACAATAAATGGCTATAAAATGCCTTTATTGCCAGAGGTATTGTATTTAAATGGTCACTCTATAAACATGTATATCGTAAATTTTAATTTTGATTCGCTTTTACTTTTTTCAACAACATAGACCGACGAAGTCGACGGAACATTGTTAGGAGCATTTAATGGACGGAATAGTCAATCAAATATCGATGCCATTAATCGTCAAATAAATCTCACATTACCAGCCACTCCACCGTCCGGCCTATCGCAACAACAATTGAAACGACGACATATCTTTGCTGCAATCGTTCATAGTGAATGCTCTTACGTTGCGACTCTTCAACGTCTAGTCAATGTAAGCACGAATGTCATTTATTATTATTTGTGTATAGTTTATGCTGTATATTCGAAGTATTTTCCAATTGAAATTGATCAAAAACCAGTCGAATACAATCGGATGTCGGTTTGAACCATTGGTTGTAATAAAATGTGTTAATAGTTTCCTTAGAATTGAAAGTGAATACACGCAAAACAAAATTTCTTCTTTATGTTCAAAGCAAACAATCTATAGAACGAATCACTAATATGACTTATTATTGATTCTTAGTATCAAATCAAAGTAAATTATGCTCTTTGGGTCATTAAACTGTAAGCTTACCACTTACTTGGTTATTGTATGTATATTTGTTTGAATTAAACGATTGCAGTGACCGTAAATTCAATTTTATGATTTCTGATTTGTTTTTGTTTGAAGTGTGTTAAAAGAGCAAAGTCTAATGTTTCATACATGAAACAATCTCTGTGAAATGTAAATCATTTTCTCGCCACATTGTAATCGTGACTTTTTGTTATACATATATTTAATTACATGTAATTTTATAACTTTGTATAAATTGCCACATGCTTGCTATAAAATGCATTCGGGTTGATATTCTGTTTTTTTTTTTTTTTTTTTTTTTTTTTTTTTTTTTTTGGGTTTAAAAAAACCGCTTGAAGAAAGTAGTCCATCCATACTCAATTCGTCCAAGATTGCAACACTATTCCATCGTTTGCCGGAAATTTTACACTGTCACACTCTATTTCGAATTGCTTTAGCTGAATGCGTTCGAAATTGGGATCGTGAAGAAAAGGTGGCCGATGCTTTCATTTCATCGTTTGGCAAACCGATTATTTTGGAGATTTATAGCGGTTTCATCAATAATTTCTCTGTTGCCATGGAACTTGCGAAAATGGAAGCAAAGCGAAAATCGGCTCTAGCAGATTTCTTTAAAGTCAAACAGATCAGCGCTCACGATCGGCTTTCTTTCTTTGGATTGATGGTGAAACCAGTGCAACGTTTTCCACAATTCATTTTATTTTTACAAGTAAGTTAAAAGATATTCATGCTAATTCATAGTAAAACAACGCAAATATGTTTATGTTATTCTAAATGTATGATGTATAAATAACTAATTTCAAAATTTACTTCTTCAAAAACTAGGACTTATTAAAATATACACCACAAGGTCATCATGATCGTATGTCGTTACAATTAGCATTAACACAATTAGAATCACTGGCCGAGATGCTAAATGAACGAAAACGTGAAGCCGAACAATACCAAGCGTTCAAAGAAATGTTGGGCAATATTAGTGGCACATTCAACACCCGTGCGTTATCATCAGAAGGAAATCGCAATCGATATCTCTTGCGCGAAGATAATGTTACCCATTTGGAATTTAATCAATCCGGTTTTATAGTGAAATCAAAACAACGTCGATTACTTCTACTGAATGACAAAGTCATTTGTGTATCAGTTGCACCCAAACTATCGAATGAATTTGGCGCGACGGAAAAACTCTCTTTCAAATGGATGTATTCGGTAAATGAAGTTGAAATTGTTGACAATAACACATCAGCAACATTATCAAGAATTTTAACTGCCGGTAAGTTCTACACATTCACAAACAATAAAATTTAAATTAATTTTCGATATTTTCTTCTAATTCTTGTAGGTTTGAATCGTGGAGGAAGTTTGAAATCAAATGGTTCTGGAATAAATGATACACTGTCATCATCATCGTCATCATCCTCTCCAGCTTCAAGTCAAGGATCACCAACAAACGGAGCCGATAATTTATGCAGTGAAATGAGCAATTTAATGCATGACTACGAAGTTATATCACGTATAAATGATTTGATTGGATCGCTGAAAGGCAATTATAGTGATATAAATACGGATTTAACAAAAAAGACTCTCGCCATAATACAAAGTTCGATACAAAAGAAAGATGAAGAAATGGCTTGGGTTGATTCTTGTTGTCTCCAATTGATTGTACGTACCAAAAATGGCAAAGAAGAAACGTTTACATTTCAAACGGAAGATCCTTCTGTTAAAAAAGAATGGATAACGGAACTTCGTTTGGCACAATTGTCTCTGGACCCAAACAATTCACCAGCATGGGAAATGCCAGAACGCGAACATCGATCACCATCGACAAAATTACCGTTGTTTGTAAAAGCACAGTCTGTTCACAAATCACATCATCAAACCGAGGTAATGATTCATCTTATTGCAGTTTTCAATGAAATAGTTTTAAAACATAACATTTTGTATTTATAGGTCCGATGTGGCTGCTATTACACAACAACGAATCACAATCGAACATCAACACGTCGCCGCTCAAAAAGCCAAAACTATGCCTGGATATGTACAACCGATGGAATAAGTAGTCATACAACAATTTTATTGCAACATCATCAACGTGCTGGTGAATTAAAAGAAGTTGGCTCATTTGATCTGGTTGAGACGATCGTCACTTCGATGGAATTTGTAAAAGGGATAAATAATCTGAATCCACAAGAAGAGCAAAATGAAAAATCATTGATCGATGGTGATTCAGTGTGGATGGGAACAACGTCAAAGAAAATCTTCATTTACTCAGCGACAAATCCAGAACAGGATAAACAAATTGCTGTTTGTGCTGTGCCTGCTGCTGTTACACAAATCGTATTTCATATGGATAGTACTTTTGTTGCATTAATCGATGGAACCGTTCAAATATTTCGTCGAGGCTATGATGGTCATTGGCTACTCAAGGAACCGCAAACTGTTTCGTTAGGTGTGTCCGAACCAATCACAAGTATTCTGTCGATAAATGCAAACGTCTACGCTGGTTGTGGACAAAAGGTCTATGTACTTAATGGCTGTTCGGGTGAAATTCAAAAATCTTTCGATGTAAATCGTGAACAAAGTAATGGGACAGCTCATACTGTTCATTATATGGCACATTCTGGAATCGGTTTATGGATTTCGTTAAAGAATTCCAGTGTGATCTGTTTATATCATACCGAAACATTTAAGCATCTCCAAGACATCAATATAGCAAGCAATGTGCTTCGTGTAACATCATCACAACGCGACTGTGCTAATAACAATTCTTCTGTCTTTGTAACAGCTTTAAATGCATCGAAAGGACTTTTATGGGTTGGCACAAATGTTGGCATCTCATTGACTATACCTTTGCCACGACTTGAAGGTGTGCCAATCATTAGTGGTGCTGTGAATATATCATACCACGCTCATTTTGGTCCGGTCACATTTTTGATGCCACTTTTGCCGAAATCATACTACAAGCCCTTGCCATCTGAACCTTTACCAACAACAACAGTACAACAGCAGAATTTTGACGAAGACGAAAAATTAGCTGATGAAAATGCGGTCACACTGCGGAAAAGTGAAAATGAAGATCAAAGCCAAAAATCAAATACAAGAGATTCAACACAACACAAAAAAACCGAAAGAAGTAATTCGCAAGACATGTCGGCCAGATTGAAAGCACAACTTGTCCAAAGTCCTGTTGTATTGCGTAGACGTCGCGGAAAAGACGAACTATCACGTGGATCAAAAACCCTACCAAGAGGACTCGGATCAGCGGCAGCTTTTACTGCTTCGATGCATTCGAATACGTCATCTTCTCAAGGTTCTGATCACAGTGGTTGTGATGTTTATGGACTTTATGGTGATTTGATTTTTGTCAAAGAAGACTATGACAATGTTGAACAAGGCCAAGGAACATTGATGGATCCGTCATACGAAAGCCTTCGAAGAAGTGAACCAGAACTTGCAGCAATTGCCACAAAAGTAACGACATTAGATCGACGTTTACGCTTGAAAGTAAGCCGCCCACGATCATTAGATCTATCCAATTGGTCGGTTGATTCTCGATCTTCTAGTCTATATACGTCGTCTGGCAGCGAAGAAAGTATGGCAATACGACAAGGATTGTTTTCAAGCCGAAGTGTATCTCGAAACAGCAGTAATGCAAGCCATAAAACTGGTACATTTGATTTAATGAATATTTGCGAAAACAGTACTGACATTCAAATTGCTCCAACGACACCATCGGCCTCAACGCCACCATTAGCCACATCGACTTTGAACCGACCATTGAAACAGTTGCCAAAAGTGGAGCACGAAAAAGTGCAAACAGTCGCCGCAGCAACTTTAAAGAAAAAGAAAAACAACAAAAATTCGAACGTATCAAATGAATCAATTTTGGGCCGAAGAACAGTAATTACTTTAACTGGCGGCCGGGGATATATAAACTGGAAACATGTGTGGTACAATTATCCTATGGATAAGTCACATAAATCGAACCAAACAATGGCACGAGCACCAAATTCGAATGATGCTCATGTGGTTATGTGGGAAAAGAAGCTTTAAAGTTTAAACGAATGATTGATTATATTATTCAATCATTATGCATTTATAAATATTCTCCACTTGTATAAAATTGTTATTTGTTTTTTTTCTTCGAATTAATTGAAAATCATATTGGTTTTTCAAGTTCAATCATCAAGTTTACGGCGCATATTTCGGTCCATGCATATGGATAATTTTTTTAAGATATTGAAATCAATGTATTTGTTATAGTGGTATTGTGGAGTTCAGTGATTTCAATTTACTTTTCCAGTGTCTTCTAAAGCGTCCAGTTTTTATAAAACAAATCAATGGATGATTGCAAGTAACACAGTTTAGATTTTATAGATGCTTAGTCATAGAACTTACGTTTTAAAGAAAACGAGAAAAGTGGATACAAGTAAAATCTAAAATTGACGTTTATTTCAAATAGAATAGAAGCGAGTGTTACGTATTTTATAATATTATTTAATTTTGTTTGCTATATTTTAAACTTAACAATTGCCATACGATAGAATTTACTAAACATCGCACAAACATACAATTTAGTCGTTATTTTTTCAAAAAAATAACAACAAAAATTTAATATTAAATGGAACGAAATTTATATATATAACGATTAAAATAGAACTCTAAATCATATGTTAATTTTAATTTGAACGTAGATTTAGTGTGGATGAAAATTCGTTTGTCCTGGTGAAATTGTTTTTTTGTATTCGTGGTCATATTATAATTGCAGCGATAGACCTTGTTCGAAATTATCTAAATTATCACAGCGATATTCGCTAAATTAAACACTTCCTATGTGTCAAAATATTTAATTAATGTTGATACATTTTGCAGCCTATGCATATAATAACATCAGTCTGAATAAAATTTTAAAATGTGAATAATATCTTTACACATCATTTACAAAAAAAAAGTAAAAAAAGACCTTACAAAAATCTTAAATAATAGCAGAAAATCTTAAACAATTACAGAAAATGCCTTATCATATTGTATATTTAAACAAAGGAACAAAACCATATTTATACATTGGAAACGCAAATCAAGTTCTTAACTTTTATTGATGTATTCTCTTTAGGAAACTGAACCTAATTATTTTTTTCACTGTTTTTAAATCATTCAAAACAATAAATATTTTATTTTTCTCTTAAAACTAAAAAAAATATTCACTTTTCTTTTATTTGTTCACTTTTTGAAAATACTCATTGTGAAATTATATTACTAGGAGGTAAGTGTATTCAGCGTGAAGTTCTTCTATCCTATTGTGGCGTCATCTATTGAAAATAGAAATAATGAACGTTTTAAAAATCGTTCATTTTGCTTTGCAATTGATCCAAGTCGCTGTATTTTGATTCGAGTTTTACTTTTTTCATTTATTATAAATGATTTTAAAAAAAATTTATTAATATAAAAAATAATAATATAAGCTTTCAATTAATTATTTTATCGGTAAACTGAATTAATAGATTTTCAATTTATCACCTCCGTTACGGTTCGTAATGCATACTGCTTATAAACTATACACTACATTCATCAATGTATATACACGTATAATTTTTGTCTGAAAGCTTGCGCTTAACACTGCTTTTCTATTAATAAGACACGAAACTAATTCCCATTTTTTGTTTCATGAATCTGTCTCTTGATCATTCTGAATTGGATTGTTCGCTAGATGATTCAAGACTTTGTTCAGAGTTTTGTCTTCGTTTAGATGGCCGGACAGTGAACACTGGATAGAACGGTGCATATTGATGTTTTCCATCATTATTTGAATTATCTAAATTCAAATAGTCGTCTAGCAAAGCCTCGTATTTGAATGGTACTGAAGAGATAGCGTAAATTTGCATTAATATCAATTTTTTATTGTTTTAACTAAAAGACATTGAAGTGGTGTAAATTATTTACCGATATGATTAGACTCGATTGAATCTTCGAAATGAACACAACGATATGTGCTGTAGAGAGGCACCGTTCCAATGGTTATCGGTAATTTGATTAACGGCTTCATTGTATTACCACCAAAGTTGCCATAAATCTGAAAATAAGCGGATAAATGTGGTTTAAAAAGGCATAATCATATTGATAAAATCAATTCAAGACGACGAAGGAAACAATTTTGATGGTTCTTATAAGATAATCAAGGAGATATGATAAGCAGTAAATACCAACTATTGTTTTGTTCATTTTCAGATTACCGCTATTTTTAGATAAGTAAAAATATTACCTTCAATTCATAGGTGATATGTAAGATTTTGCTAGAAACCGAATCGGTGGACGGAACCGGTGGAACCAAAATCTCAGAAATGTGAACAGCGCACGTGTTTGCTGGACAGCCACCTGATAATAATATTGATGTTAATGGTGATTTATGCTTTTTACTTTGCTTGCGAACCGTATCAAAGTAAACAAAAACCTTTGACGCAAAAATAGCAATAAAATAATTAGTCACTTTTTCAATTCACAGATAAATTGATGTGGACTTACTTTATTCAATTCGACTTTAAATTCCAAAATATTTTTGTTGCTTTTATTGTCCACATCAATTTGTAGTGGTATCATTTGTCCTGGTGCATAGCCATTGTGTTTGATTGTTGCAGTTACAGATACATTATCCAATGTCATCGACAAAAATCGGAAAAATTTCACACACTGTTGCTTTTTTGTTGGGCTCTGTAACATTTATATTCACTCACTTGGTAATACATCAATTGTTTAAATAGAATATATTTATCTCACCTGAAACAAGGGTGATGCATTTAAATTATGCGGTTTTAAAACAGTAAAAGCAATAGTCTGCGTTTGAACTGGTTGATTTGGACGAATGATATTCACGCTAGCCAAATAACGGATAAATCCGTACTTCCCTTCGCAAGATGTTGGTAATGTTTCTAGTAATTTGGTTTCAAAGGGATATGTATAAACACCAGTTCGAATTATATGATTTCCTGTGAAACGGAAAAATAATTATGGACGTATATACTTAATTTAATTTTTCTAATGTTGTACCATCAATTAGATCCGAAATTTTTATTTCGTGTTTCAAATAAATTTCTTCTGCGTGAAATAATCGTCGTTGCTCAGTCCACTCGCACTTTCCAATCCCAAGAATTTGAATGATGATATCTGTAATCGAAAAAACATTATTTTTCACGTGTATTTTTTAACATTCATTTTATGGGGAAAAAATCGAAAACCTTTGAGTTTTTGCTTTTCATAAAAGGTTAAAACCACGTATCCAGATAATGTTTGTCCACAGTGATAAACTCCATCACAACTTTCATTTGGATTTAAGTAAATTTCACAAATAGTATTCTTCATTTTTCTTAGCACGGCGGAACACTTCTATTCTCTACAGTTCTATACACAAAAATGATCAAATGATGCGAAATCACAGCGCCTTTTCTCCTCTGAACTGTTCATTGATATTTTGCGAGAACAGCAGCGTATACATAAACGCCAGTTTGATTTTATTTACTGAAAAAAAGAACATTGATAAGATAACGGCAATATCAACAAAATGTTGAATTTCAAATAAAATTAAGGCGGCGAGTATTCTAGAGACCAAGGGTCGGACGTTCCGCTTCATTTCTTCATTCATTTGGGGGGAGGGGGGGAAGAACAACACATTACGTACTTTCAATCACAGATAACAATTTGCAATTGTGTGAAATTTACAAAAAATCAAAACAGTTGCCTTTCGTTTAAATCGTAAACAACGTGAATTGAAGTGTGAATTTGTTATATAAATTTTACTGTCAATCTTAGTTCAAATCATCTGGATTCATTTTATGTGAATTGAAACAGTGATGTCGATTTATTCTGACACAATTTTACTGTATCGACTGCCTACAATCGTAAAACCAAATTATAACATAGAGAATACGAATACAAATTGCTTTATTTACGTCACATCGGTAATGAATTGAGCGATAAGCGGAGTGCACGTGCAAGTTAAAACATTCATAGAGTAAATTTAAGAATATTAAAAAAACAGCGATTGCCTGATATAACCTTTAATTCTATGGTCCTACTATCTCATCGCTAGAAGGACAATTACAATTTGCGTGCCAAAAAATGAATAAACAGAAAGTCTTTAAAAAATATAAATTTGATTTATTTAGTCTATCAATAACATTATGGGATCTTTTTTTAGCGTGCTACGTGCAGCAGATAACACTTTCTTACATTTAAATTTGTTGCAATGTATGAGATTAGTAAAATGGGTTTATTTTGGTTACACATTGACGAATCTGAGAAAGATATTCTTCCGTACTTAACAATTTTTCCTCGTGGAACATTATTTGTAATGGTCCGTGGTCTGCCAAGTCTTTTTGGCTAGTAAACTATCAAATGTTTGAATAAAAATAAGAACAAACAACAAATCAAATCTTTTTTTTTTTTCGTTTATGAACAAAAGAACGATGATAAGAAAAAGAAAACGTATCCCTTTTTGTATGAAGTCTTGAGTCTCTTGACTGTGTCGCGTATATCAAGACGTTTTTATAGGGTATAGTGACTGTGTCAATAATAAATGTGCTTTAGACCTGCTTGTGCGCGAGCTCGTATATAGGATCAAAATCTGTTCTAGTTCAGCCCATTTTGACTCAATCAATGAATTTTTAATTTGTAAGTAGCCACATTTGGGCACAATTTTGTATTGAAAAAACGCTTGGGACATAAGGAACCTATCAAGTACAATACACCTCATAGAAAAATGAAAAATTACTAAATATTTTGTAAGACATTTTTAGCAACAAGAGACAATCAAAATTTGACGAAACTATTGATGATTGACATGGCTTTGCTTGAGATACAGACTCTGGATGAACTTTTTGTGGTTACTTGCAAGAAAGAAACATAATCAAAAATGTCTGAACAAAGTGAAGGAGACACAATTAATGGAAATGCAAAGTCACGATATATGCTTGTCTTAAGATCCTACTCGATCATATGCAAAGTGTGTTGTTACGACGAACGTTCGACAAACGTTTCGATGCTGGTGTATATTTGGCAGCCGTCATTGAACAAATTGCTATCAGATGTCGCAATCGCTCAAGTTGGTGTACTCAAGATAAATTTCTGTGGGAAACACATCCAGAGTGTCCGTTTGAGAAGAATATCATACTGTGTAAAATGTTGTAGAGCAACATATTACAATTCTTATTGATTAAAACCTTATATACGTTACATATCCAATAAGATCACCGGTCAAAAAAGTGCACATATACTTTTTAACTTGGAGAATCTGTGCTAAGAATCTAGGGGAAATTATCTATTTGCAAATGGACAAAATTCGTTGAAGTTGCATAAAAAGTCGTTCAATAAAATAATTCAAACAATTCTCAATAAGTTTTCACAAATTGATGAAAACAAAAGATACAATTATTTGAGACTTGTTTGGTAATGCGATTTTCCTTTTGTTCTCTTCATTAAAAGAATTTTAATGAATATTTCTATATTTGCACTAATTTACATCGTCATTATTTCTTATGCAATAAATATTAAACGCGTCAATCAAGTGTTCAGAAAGACATACATTTATACGAGCAATTGAATGATGCTTGCATCATTTGATGCGCATCGCTAGTGCTTTCGTTGTGCGTTCGGAGCACTTCGTGCGCTGCCGAAGATCCGAATGTATGGCGACAGCACAATCGATGCGCATCAAATGATGCAAGCATCATTCAATCGCTTACATAAATGTATGTCTTTCTGAACGCTTGGCGCCAATATTAACGAATGATTTTTCTTTATTTATTTAACAAACATGCAGGCAACTTATACTAATTGTAATGAACAACATATGAAAATAGTTCGATATGTTATTGGTAAATTTGTAATACCTGTAATTCTATTTGTGAAACTGTTTCATTTAAAAGTTCCTTCATTTTTTTCTCAATAGTTTTACTTGTTTTAAAAATATTTGTTTGCAAATATCTATTTTTTAAGACAAACAATCTAAGAAATTCAAAAAAAATAACACGATTTAAACGAAACTAAATTGTATTTTTATCGGTACTATCTTAATAGCACTATGTGCTGTAAAGTTTAAACATTTGATAGGTTATGTTCGGTTTGCGCTTTTGTATCTTAATTTGAATGACATTTCTTCAACAGTCTTTTTAACTAAATCTATCAACATTTATGAAAATTAACGAATTTGATTTATGAATATATTTTTAGAGAAAAACATTAAGCCGGAAACATTAAACATTACCCGGCTATGCCACGGTTGAACGTTCGGAGACTTGAGATCGGCTTTTACCATCGAGTGATAGAATTTCTTCTTAGGATAGCATCTCCTTCAAAGTTTGAAATCATTGTGATCCATTTCGTCTAAGTGGTGGCAATGAAAGACTTTTTAAGATATTTTGAAGACAGGTGGACCGATTTTCCAAGGTTGACATTTTTTCTTGATACATGGCCCAACCATACACCAATAGCAGCTGAAGGCCTGCCAGGTTAGAATTGGGAAATAATTTGGACATTGCGTGTATATATAGAGAGTTCGACTTTTCAACACACTAATGTAGTTTCATCACTCGCGCGAACTGCTGTCCGCTGTGATTCGAAATACAGTGTTGTCTTGGAAGTATGCGCATGCAAATTTCAAAATCACAATAAAATTCGTATAATAATGTGTAAAAAAAAGCGTTATAATACATATTGCAATCAAATATTTTTTATTTAAAATCAAATAATCGTCAATCTGAAACCCATTTACATTTATTTATTTTGTTTTCACTTAATTAAATCGCTTCTATTTCATGTCAACGTTACAAAATTTTATATAAATAAACGATTAAAAACTGTATAAGAACAATGAACATTTCATTCAACGTTATTGTAATCATCATTATCATCGTCATCATCAAAGCGATAGAGAATGGCATTAATTTTTTTTAGACACTTATTCTGCGAATTTGGTGCGCATAAATTACATGAACAAACAAAACCCCAAGTTTCAAGTCTTCTTTTGCGAAGCTCAGTTGGTAGATTAACATTGACATAACTGATGTAAAGCTGATCATTTCTTTTCACCTTTTTCTTTATCCAATAAAAACTCTCATTTTGAATTGATATGTGTGCAGTATTAAATTGACAGGAATGATTGAACAGTGACTGAACGAGGCCCAACTTCGAAGAATGTGCGCTACCAAAACCATTGGTCTTGATAATGAGACAATGATGAAGTATCAAATGCATTAGAAAAACACGATCTCTTCTATTTTGAAAAGCCTCAGCAATTTTCGGTATTTTCAATAGAAGTTTTTCAATTACATAAACTGCTTCATGGGATTTTAATTTATAGCTTATTAGTTTTTCACTCACTGTGCACTTTGACATTTTGAAGAAGAACTCATATTTCGATGTTGAGTCATGAGTTGATTCTGGGAGTTTATCCATAGTCTTTAACATTTGTTTAACGTGGTTTATGAGTGCTTTCGTATCTATTTTGTCATTGCATGTGAATAAATCAAAAGCCATTAAAACCGAATGAATGGGTAATTTTAAATCAAATTCAATGGTTGTTATGAAAGTATTACATTCCCAGCTATGTATTGGGCTCTCTCTACGGCAATTTTCGTCGCAAAACATTGCATCGGTACATTGTGGACAAGCAATGAAATTTTTATCTTCTGCGAAGCAAGTGGTGCATGTGCGAATTCCACCATTTAAATCATCAACTGTTCTTAAGTAGTCTTTTTCAATCAAAATCATGTCATTAGCTTTCAATTTATACTTTGAACGTAAATATCGACCATATTTCTCGCTCTCCTTGATTTTTACCACATCGGCCAAACATGGATAGTTTTTATTTTGTACATAACTCAAATTCATTCTATTTTTATGTGGTTTTGGTTCAAATGGTGCATGTTTAGATTGGCCAACCTTAACATCTGAACTAAGTAATTTAAGTTTTGTCTGTAAATGTTCTGGCAACTGCGCTTCTCTTACTCGACTGATATCCTCTGATGCTTCATCGTAAAATCCCATTTCATAAAAACATGCTGCTCTATTTGAATACGCCAAAGCAACATGTTTTGATTCATTTTCTGCGAGTCTTAAACTATGATTGTAACAGTCCAATGCTTTGAGGGGGCAAACAAGCGTGTTTCCTTTCTTTCTTAATTTTATTGATTTTTCATTATTTTTGCCACCCATGTCCGGATTACATGCTCCATATTTGCTATCAAGTTCCACTTTTTGCTGTGCATTTATCTCGAAATCGCCAAAATCAATAAAATTTCCATCACTATCCTTTTTCCATAGCATTTCTTTCATCTGTTGCACTGTTGGTTCACATCTTAGATTCTTTAAAAAGAATGAATTTAGACTATGAATTTGGACTCAATAACGAGAAAAAAAAACTCTTTTGTATACCCCAAGTTCAATAAATTCTCCTCCGCTTGAACACATAATATTTCGCCGTATCCATTCCATTATTGGTACCTTTGAGAAACTATTTATATAAAGCCGAATGCTCGCCACTTGCTACTTCTTTCAATAAATATGCAATGTCAAAAGGATTGATTTTGAGGTTAAGTTTGTGTACTTTTTTGCAATCGATTAAATGGCAGTGTGCTAAATATTGTTCTAAATTATTTGCATGTGTTGTTGCTAAATAAGTAAGGGTTTTCAGAAAAACAAATCAAATCAAAATTTATTGACTCGAACATTTTCAAATAACACTCAAATAATTTAATTTAATGTCATTCACTGATTTTTAAATATAAAGTAATTTGTCCAAAATCATTTCAAAAATCTGGTATCCTTAAAAATTACATAATTCCCAGAACAGAATAATTCTATGAAAACTAAGAAAATATATTTGAAAAATGATTTTGACGAGGTTTTGATTTTAAAAAGAAATGGAAAATAAATCAGAGGTAAATTGAATAAGAATAACTTATTGTTTTGTCATCACTCCCTGTGTTCATTATACTCTAATTCGTATTTTCAAATGTCATTTTTATTAGATTTTTTTATTTATTCAACTTTACAATAAATGTAACAAAATTCAAACTTAGAATTAGATCGCCGAAAATTACGTAGAGATATAAAAACTAATAAACTTCAAATTGTAATTTCGTTGAGTAATTTTAATTTCGGAATTGCTTTTTGTGGATAATTAATTTTCATGTTTCTATTTTTATGAGTCAAATTCATCCTCGTTTGGAAATGCGTCACCTATAGGAATTCGCCGAGTGGAAATCTTCCAATTTGCTAAAGAAATTGATGCTTACAAGGACCCCGCACGCAATTTTTACATCATCCACACTCCTCATTTAGGAGGGATCCCCCTAGATTTTTTTGAACTACTTCACGCATCATTTAGTCATTTTGGATTCATATACTACCCAAATGTTACAAATTTTTAGTTGATTACGTATCTGAACCCATTTCAGTTATTATTAATTCATTATTTGCATTGAGTTACTTTCCATCTAAATTGAAATGCAATGTTCAACATCATTTTCTCAAATTCGCCCTATACTATAATAACGCAGCTAAAAATATTTTCATCAATAAGTTGGAATCAACTCACTGACTATATGAAAGAAAACAAATTAATTTCCGAACATCAATCGGGATTTCCAATGGAAAATATGTAATTCTGATTTTACTAGACTTTACCAATGCAATTGGATCAGTTGATCATGGCCGTCTCATTCAAGTCTTAAAAATTACGGGAATTAATAATATATCTACAGAAATCATTCAAGATATCAATACAGATTTGCGTTTACAGAGCTCAGCTGTTCTCGCTGTGCCAGAAACCAACGAAGCTTACTTGGCGCCATCCATTCCAAACGTGTTACAATAATCAAAGGACATTCAAATGGCTCATCGTATTTTTTTAAAATCATTTTTACCAAATAAATAGCAACAAAAGAATTTGAACTGAACTTATTTTTAATCGCGTAATAAAAAAACATAAGTTAATTTCAATCAATAGTGTTATATCAAATATTAGTCTTCTTTTCTAGATCTGTATACTACGCAGATAAATATTATATGAAAACTAAATATATTTTGAATTCAAATACATAAAGAGATATTTAAACAACATCATCGGACCATTTTTTTTTTTAAACTGATTATATATTTTGTTTGGTAAAAATTGTTTTTATTTTCGGTAAGTATATTTTGTATAAATAATACGGAATATGGTTTTTTTTTTTTAATAAATTTCATAAGTATTTCATTACTTATTTTAAATATTATCAATTTCACTCATATTTGATTCGCTAATGAATTAAGGGTATTTATTAAAAATTTAAAAATATATATAATAAAAAATTTGGTAAAACTGTAACAATCAATCATTATTTATTTGAATCTTCATTTTTTGTATTTTCCAATTGTTGTATAATCTGTTTGGAAACAATCGTCGTTGCTTCGTTTGCATTAGGGATAATAAAACGATCCATATCTGTTATAATTAATTCGTCTCCATCCGGTACACCGTATTTGAATGTAATTAGGTCGCGATGTCGTTTTTTGGCAGTAATTTTAACAATATTTGATAAAGGCCTACGGGCAATAATTTCAGCATTTCCTTTTTTGTCGAGATCGCGCAAAACCATCAGATGAGTTTTGGTTAAAATCAAATGACTATCGTGCATGATGCCACTCATGTGAACCTCTAAAATTAAAAAAAAACAAATAAGTTTTTTATGCATATTTCTTGTAATTTACAAATTGTTGGCAAATGTTATTCAGCTCACCTTGGCATTTTAGTGCCTTAATCACATCTGAATTTTTTATATAACTTGGTATGTTAACCGTTGTATCTTCCTCATTATTTGCGTCGGTTACATCGTTATCGATAACTGAATCAACACCTTCATACATACTAAAGACCGATCCCACATTTCGATAACGTATACCATTTCTTTCACTTTGCGATACATGTTTCTCAATCGGGTTACTCGTAGCCGTACTGGTTCCATATGGATTTACAATGTAATCCATGAATTTACCTTTAACTTCTTGTGATTTACTTTTCATAACGCTTGATAATTTGCTAAATAAATCGACCGATGGCTGTGACTTGAGGCTTGATGTCGATGGTGCGTGATTTATTCGTTCATTGCTATTACTGGTTGAATTAACTTTGCTGGTGCTGGGACCAATACACATCAAGCATCGCATTGAATCATGATCTTTTAAGTATTCGTTTGTGTGATGTCCAAAATATTCATGTATCGAAGCATAACCACCGGTTAATACCGAAACATATTGTGTATTTTTCTGAAGAAATGACGCCACTACCATATGCATATATTGATCTTCATCCATGCGTCCCGATCCCATAAAACACAAATGTTCGCCTCCTGCATCTGAATTTGCATCAATGGCCATTTTTTGTGATCGCAACAAGCCATATACAGCTGTGGAGAAGGCAACCGGCTCCTGTAGCATCAAATTACTGTCTACATGAAATGCTGTATGTAGGTGACCATAGTTATATTGATCCGCCGGTCGACAGTCGACTAAAAAGAAACGAACACTATCAGCATTCGTCGGTGACGAAGAAATATTCTCAATTAATTCGTAGACAGTGACTGGCAAACAAAGCGCCTGTGAAATTGATCTATCAGGGCTCGTATCTGCACCAAACAATGACTTCAAATAGCCCGTTTTGAATGATGATGGAGTTTTTATCGCATAATATTGAGCTAACGAGCAAAAATCAATTACGTCTCCAGCTTCTAGAGCAGCTAAAATTGTAAATGATAAAAATGAACAATTCGAACAATATTGTCACTGAATTAAAGAAAAAAACTGTTCTCTTACTCGGCATATCAGTTAAAAATTTCACAATTTGTTCTGCTGATTGATCTTTCATCGCAAGGATCTGTTCTCGTCCATTGATTAGCATAATGAGCGCGAGGAAAAACACCAAAAATGGATCCGTTTGTTGAAAATACATGTCCCACATACTGAAAATGTGAAATTGAGCAAAATTAAATAAGCAGAAATTGACATAATGACTAAGCATATTATTACCTTAGAACCACCGGAAGTGTACATGTTGCTGCAAATAGGCTTTGAAACCATGACATTGAATAAAGATCGGGTGTAATTTTCTTAGTGTCCAGCATTGAACACAACTCAGGATCGTGATAGAGAATTAACAGACGAAATAAATGAAAAACATTTCCGTTTTTTACGCAACCCTTTGGGATATAAGTATCTCGAATTGCTTCAAACAGATTATACGTGTATGATCGACTCAACTTGAGAGATAATACCGGTAACAGCAATTCTATCCATCCATTTTGTGATTCGTATTTCAAACACCGATTTTTACAGTAAAATGTTAGAATTGACTCCAAATCTGAAACTACTGACAATTTATCCTCTTCGTCATTTCCAAGTTTGTCAACAAATACACTACAATCGTTACGAAGTTCGGTCTGAAATGGTAAATCAAAGATTTCATTGAACAGCGCCATTTGGTCGTTCTTGTATCGAACATCCAGGCAAATTTGCCAAACATCAGGCCGTAAAGTTTCAGGTATTGCTTTGCCATTACAAATACTGTAAATGTCGTTCACATTACACTCATCCAACAGCGCTGATTCCAATTCAATCAACCTAAAACGAACAAAAATACAATAGAATTCATTGAACGAATAAAGTGTTTGTTTTCTTTTTTTTGTAGCAGAGATATGATAAATGATATCCGACATATTGTAAATAGTACATTCATTGTGATGGAATGTAATACGTATACAATTCAAGCAAATAATTTCGCAACAAATTCAATGTATTTGATATGTCTTAAGCCACTTATACTTGGTTTATTTTTAATATTTCTGCTATTTTCATAGTACAATAGCGCATCTGAAATTTCTTTTTGATTCGAACACAAATATATGCAAAATAAAAACAATTAATATGTAGTTTTTCACTTCAAGCAATTTCAACTATTCTCTTATGATTCACAAACATAACATTTTATTATTATTTTTCTCGCTGTACATACCAAGTATTGGCGTCCATAATTAAATGAGAAATTGTGATGTATCTTATTCACTGTAATCGATATTATATTTTCTCAAAAGCTATGAAATAATTAAATTTTTGTGAAAATTTTTGTAAAGACTAAGTTGTGTCATCTGTCATTCAATCCAACTTATGTGTATAGTTTTTCAATCCAAAACAGTGGTCATACGTATAAGAGCGATACGTCATTTGACAACCATACAAATCAATTCATTTTCTGAAAGAAATCAATTCACAATGAAATACAGTATACGTTTGACGTTTGTAGTAGAATCATGTACAAAATAAGAAAGAAATTATTTCAGTAAATTTCAAATACATAATACAAAATAGTTTATATTATGGTTTAGGCAAAATTAATAATCAAAAAAATTGTATTCTGATTCGCACTCAAAAAAAAACGTATGAAGCGGCTTTTCAACAAAAATGAAATGTCAAAGTATGATGAGAACCAACTTCACATCGATACGCTATTTTTTTTGCATATCTCATGTGTTCTGGTGATTTTCGCTTCGAAACTAACAGAGAAAGCTCTAGAACTTGCTACAAAATTCATATTCAAGATAAACTCGATTTTATTCATTCGTCGGCTGTTCTTGCACTGGAAAACATTATACAATAAAGTGAACTTTTTGCACGGAATAGGAGTACAATCTAAAGTCGATTAAAATTTAATTATTCGTTATTGATATTGATTTACCTGTATTTTCAACAAGTAAAACTAAATAAAAATGGCAAAATGGGGCGAAGGAGATCCTCGTTGGATTGTAGAGGAAAGACCGGACGCCACGAATGTGAATAATTGGCATTGGACGGAGAAAAATGCTACGCCATGGTCAAAGGAACGAATCACGACATTGTTTAAAAATTTTGCCATCAATCACGATAGCAAAGTGAAATGTAGTGTTATTGAGGTTGATAAGATCGAAGGTGAGGCTACGGCAAATAATCGAAAAGGCAAATTAATCTTCTTTTATGAATGGAATGTGGTACTAAAGTGGCAAGGGTGTTTGGATGAAGTTGAACCAACGTACACCGGCAAAGTTACTATACCAAATTTGTCGGAGGAAAATGATTTGGATGATATTGACATCACCATTAGCATCGATGAATCATGCGACGATTCGGAGCGTTTGAAACAATTCATGTACAACATAGGTAGATCGCAAATTCGTTCACAAATTGGCGTTTATCTACGTGAGTTACGCGACGAATTTTCAAAAGGATTAATTTTACCGAAAAAGGGAGATGCTACTGTAAAGCCCGACGGTGTATCAAATATAACAAGTGGCTTTAATAAAAAGGTCAACTTACAACCGATGAACTCTGGAGCTGATAAAAATAGTGGTGTACCATCTGTTGGATGCAAATTAGACGTCAAAACAATAACATTCTCGGAGACATTTCAATGTCAAGCAAAAGATCTGTTTGATGTATTAACTAAGCCAGAGCTGGTTTCGGTATTCACTCACTCGCAAGCCAAAGTCGATGCATCTCGTGGTGGCGAATTTGTGCTATTTGATGGAAATCTTAGCGGAAAATTTCAGGAATTGGTAACAAATGAGAAAATTGTCCAAACTTGGCGTTATAAACAATGGCCGAGTGGCCATTATTCACAAGTCACAATGAACTTCATACAAAAGGTAATATACAAATGCATCTTTATTATTCGAATGGGGAATTTAATGATAATTTTGTTCGATTCGTACCATCGTCATTTAGGAGGACCATACAGTTTTAAATGTTACACAAACTGGTGTTCCTGCGAACGAATATGATAATACCTTACGGAACTGGAAAGGATACTATTGGAATAGTATAAAACAGGCCTTTGGATTCGGTAGTTTCTTAATGTAGTTTAATAATGATCAGAGAAGAAAAAAAACACTCAAACTTACTGAATTGTTGCTATAAACAGATTTGCAGTGTGTTCTCCTGTAATGGAACAATTAAATTATTTGAATGCTCTTTTCCGTTTAGAACCTTTGTACATTTTTTAATGAAATGCTTAACGCAACTTAAGGTTCGCAACCTTTTGGTTTATAATAATTGTTTAAAAAAATCCCATTTGAACGAATACAATGAACATTCTGTATCATTTTTTTTAACGAAATTACTTATCATTTTTTGCCATAGGAAACATTGTATACAAATAATACACAATAAATATTTGAAAATCTAAGTATTATTCAACAGATTTTGAATTTCTTTATTCCCGTTAATAAATTTTATCCGGTTCACAAATAAGGAATGAATTGGAGTCGACGAAATTTATCAAATATACATTAATTCGTAATCCACTTCAATTCAAATGTAGCAGATTTTCTACATTAATTCACAGATAAATATTGATAATTTTATTTACAGTAGTAACGCGAATACCGGAACATTCCCCAATAATACTTTTTCCTGAACGAACGGTTTCCTTAAGAATTGGAAATCTTTTCAAGAAAATTTGCCGAATTCTCTGGAGAACGTTCGTTCGAGAAAAAGTATTTTCGGGAATGTTCCAGCATTCAGTAACGCACACTATTTTGAATTTTGATATATGTGTCGATATCCATTTTCAAAATTAATTGCACGAAATGTAATGCCTGTGCATTTAAATTTCAAAACTTGAAATTTGTTCAACCAGATCGTCCAATTTGATTAGATCACGATTGTACGGTTGGTTGTGTAAAGTGAAATACAAGCGGCGCAAAGCTTGAATTCGCCTTAGGATGAAATTTCTCTTGCGCGGATTCAGACGCCACGCACGTAAGCTATCAATGATATTTTCTTCCGTCTCACGTCGCAGTACAATTATCGTATTTTCAATCGATTGCTTTTGATTATTCCTGTATTTTACTATGGAAGCAATTGCTTTTAAGCGATTTGATCGTTTAAGATTAGAAAGAATAAAACCCAGTACATTTTGTAGAGTGACTTGCATTGTTGATGGGTATTTTCGACTCTCCAGTTTACTGCAAAAAAAAAAATGAAGCATTATTAGAACAAAATATACATATGAATGGCACATCGAGGTCTAAACACTGTTAATTTTGCCACTATTAATTGAACTTACTTATTAAAAACTAAAAATGCAGGTACAGTCTCCATCGTATATTCCCATGGTAAATCATTTTTATCACTATCGATTCGTGCAAATTTTACGTACGGTGCATCATTCAAGATTCTGGATATTGTTAATAGAATATTCGAAAATATGGTACAAAACGCACACTGTGATGATGTGAATAGTATAGCCACAGTCTAAAAGAATGACAATTCAATAAAATATATGTGTATTAAAATTCAATTTTAAGATCTATCAACTTACCCGCTGTGGTTCCGAAATAAAATTTGTAAAATTCTCAGAAGAAATTGTCGAAACAGTAATTGTTTTAAAATTTCTATCGGTATATTTTCTATCCACATTTGGATTACTTTGATCACTTTGATTATTGACCGAGTTATAAAAGTACGAATGTTTCTTTGTATATCCATCGTGTCGCAGGTGACGTGACAATTTATTCATTGTGTAGTTATAAACAAAATCAATCAAATTCATTGTGGACAAGTTGTCTTTAAGCACATAAGACGATTCATCCTGGAATAAAATGAAATATTGTAAGCTAATATATATATTTAAACAATCAAAATTATCCTACCTTTCCGTCCACTATAACAGCCACTGTATTTTGTAAGGCACTTTTCAGTGAAATGCCCAATTTTTCAGCTACTAATGGATATACTAGACTGTCCATCGCCAAAAACGATAGACTTTTATTAGTTTTACACCCGATCCCGGTTAATTTGTCAAAGTCAAATTGGCTCGAATTGTCCACCTTTTCGAAATAAATGATATTTAATCATAATTATAGTTTAAATAAAATCATTATAGCAAACACAATGATTACCTTTTCCAAAATTCTATCTTGAAAGACTTGTGATCGAAGTTTTTTGGATAAATTAATCATTTTGCACTCAATATTTTTCCATTCGGTGAAAACGTTTTCGGAGGAACGCAAGTCATTTTTAGTGTCTACAATGGAGGTGGGAAGGCCATCCAAATCATATTGATAAAAGTGGTTACACGATTCAGGTATATTTTCGCAATAATAATCGTTTTGTTTCTGTTTATTCTTAAGTGTAGTGAACTGAAATTTTGATGAATTACTATGACCAACGAAGAAACTACTTTGTTCGTATGGAGAACATTTATTTGAAACAGAGTTTTTCCACTTGAAAAACTTCTCACACTCTTTTGTTTTCAAATAATAATTATGATTATTAATTTTTCGTTGATTGTATATATATCTACGTCCCATCTCTTTCAACCATTCATCTTTGTCGCAATTATTGTATTCGTAACTGATTTGACGGATCTATTTAAAAGCAAATCAATTCGTTAATATATTTATGCTAATGAAAATTGATAAGGTACCAATACCATTGCATAAGCATCACTTGGAAAATCATAGAGACTACGTGGCGTAAATAGAATTAAAACGGGTCCCTTTTGAATGAAAATATCAAATTCCTTGGATCTTGCTCCAGGCGGCGTTAGCCATGTTGTTACTTGTTGTTTATTTTGAATGATCCATTTGTGAATAAGTGAAGACTTCCATACCTCATCTTCATATTCAATTGTGCGATTCCAAAGATAAAAGCGCAGTGATGGTTCTCGTTCAATGCCAAATTTATGCATAGATTCGCCGGTGACAATCGCTTTGTTTTTTATTGTCAAATTTGAACGAATATAAATCAATCAATATGAAAAATGTATTGTTGTGGACAAAAAAAAATGTATTACCAAATGCCACGTCTCCTTGTGGGTCTCTTTCCAACCATTTTATTGCAGTCTGGTAGAAAATATTGTAGAACGTATAACTCGTTTCCATATTTACAAAGAGTGTCACAACCGCATCATGATTATGAATTATCGTCAGTAGCTCTTCGGGCTTATTGATTCGATTAATGGGCTTCAGCAATAAATATACAAATCTTGCTAGTGCAGTCTCAGTCCATTGTCCAGTGTATGGCACGGCTATATTATTCTTTGCATAAGCCATAAGAACTGGCCACGACATCACTTTTTTGTATTGCTGTCGACACTCATTGTCGACTGGATGCCAACAGTTGATTGCCATAAAATTTGCTTCACGATAAAATATTTCCGCAATGGATTGAAAAACAGGCCGTGCATATTGACTGTCAGCAGACCATGGTGCATAGAACATTACAAACGATAAATCGGATAAGGTCACTTTATTTTGTACTGCATCTAAATTGCCGTGAGGATAGTCATACACAAAAGAATCACTTGAGAAAAACTGTCTCGGCTCCGGATAAATTTCAGTCTTTGGCAAACTAAAAATAAAATCAAAAAAATGTTTGAAACAATTCTCAATAGACGATGAATAATCAAAAAAAGTTAGTACTCACACATTTTGCAGTGTTTCATATGCAGTAAAAATGAAGATTATGAGGCAAACAATTTGCCATCCATAATAAATCGCCATGCTATTTCGTTTTAGTAGATAGAAATCCGTTATGCTCACTTTTTTTGGGCTACTATTGTTTTCCTCATTTTTTATGTTGCTTGTGTTGCAATCCGATGCTTTTTTCTCCTCGATCGTTTGATCGAGTGTATGAATTGTTCCGGGCGTACCTAAATAAACGTGTTAAATATTATTATTTGACACATTGTAACTATCTGATACTAGTGTTGACGTGTCTTGTTTGTTTCGACAGCTGTTTTTTTGCTAAGTACAATAACAGAATGTATCACATTTCATTGTTAATACAATGCAACAATAAAATCTTGCAACACTTCATTATTTTGTAAAATACATTTTAATTGAATGTGTTATGTTAATTTGAACAGATTTCAATTGGATTAGTTGCGCACAGTTTTATTTTTTCTCAAATATGGAATGAAAGTTACCAGAGATTGAAATGTTGATTCGATCGTTTTCATTCACAGAAACTTTGTCGTCATTAATATCAATTTGGTTTGGATTTTTGTTTTCATTCGACATAAGGATTCTCAGTCTAAGCTCATAGTTTTCTTTGATATTTTTTATGATGCGTTTGCACTTTTACTTATCGTTGAAGCATTCAGTGAAACATTTTATTCACTACTGTCCATTGGATGAACTTGACAAATAAAATTACGAAAAATGCGTCAAATTTTTTCTTTCTAAAACTTGGCTTGCTTGAACTAGATAGAAGAATTATTATTAAAATTTGAAGAAAACATACAAGTTTTATTTATCTAATTTCCATTGAATATGACGTTGACAGTTATATGTCAATGTTTTTGAGGTTAAGTTCATTCTTGACATTCAGCTGATTTTGTTTTCACTAAATAGAAGCAATAAACAAAAAAAAAACAACAACTTTTAAACATAGTAATTGGTCTACTCAATAGACTTTTATTGAAATTATAAATATTGTCATATCTTGAAGAAATTTTCTAGATAGCCATATGCAAAAAAATTGGTAAAATATGTTTGAAAAAAATTCATTACTTATCACATTTCATACACATACATTGACTTAAACTCAGTTATGTTCACAAAGTAAATAGCTTCGAAGTGTTTCAGGTATAAAGAGAAGAGGCACTTTTTCAGGTATTGTGCGACCAAAAGCCAATCGAAAGTGTGTTCGTAAAGCGTGTTTTAATGGGATTGGAGTTTTGGCTTTTTGAATTAATTTTTTGCGTTGAATGTCCGTCAAATGTAAATTTCGTTTTATCATTGCTATGTCAAAGTTTTCAGCCGTTTCTAATAAGATTTCAAATACTCGAGAATAGGATGGAACATTTCGCAAACAGTTTAAAAGACCATCTGGGTCTCTGAATTGGGTTCGCATACAAACTCTAGCACCATGTTTCAACAATAATAATAACTCTTCCACCGTCGTTGTATCACTGTTTGCAAGTAATTCGGCCAGTGGTGGTCTTAATGAATTTCCGCCCGTTTCGCTTGGTATTCGGACATTCGGATCCGAACCGTAGGAAAGAAGCATCTGTAAAATTGTAAAATATCAAATATCATTTAATTTCTCATATATATTTTTTGGTTTTGTTTTTTCTTCTGACATTATATTGAGATATTTTCAGGCAACTTATTCAGCTTAAGAAGCTAACGTCACGCGTTATAGTTATAAAAACTCCATTCCATTATACTACATTCTTTTTCCCTGATTTCAGTGCCTGGCGTTAGCTTCTTGAGCTGAATCGTCTGCGTAAAAATATCTCAATATATAATCTGGTTTCCTTTTCCTGCATACCTTCATGATTTCTATTCTGTGTGGAATATTATCAGCACACGCAACATGGAGAGGCGATCCAATTATGGAGCTACTTCTGTTTATATTTGCACCTGCTTCAAGCAAACATCGCACAATGGCAGGGTCGCCTCTTAAAATTGCGATCATTAATGGACTAGGTTTATCTGATTCTCCATTGGGAGGCAATCGGTCTGTTTCTGCTCCTCGCTTCAAAAGCAAATTAACGAGTGAAAGGTTTCCGGATAATACAGCATAATGTAAAACGGTTCTATAGTCATTTCTATGATCGGCGATTGCGTTAACATCTGCGCCATGCTTTAGCAATAATAGAACTTGTTCTGTGCCATAATTATATCTACAAGCTCTCATGAGAGGTGTCATACCCGATCGACAACGTGACTCAGTTTGAGCGCCATAGTTTAATAGCAATTCGAGCGATTCGATGTCAGATACCAAACTAATTTCGGCACCCAGAAAGTACCTCTTATTAGGGTCGGCACCATTTTCCAATAAAAGCCGTGCCATATCCTGAAATACAAATTAAAACATGTGAATGAACTATATTTCGTTATCATTCAGATTAAACTAACATAGTTTCTATTTTTAAGGGCCAATCGCAATGGTTCGTCGCTCAGCATAGTACGCGGATAAAGTTCATCAGTTGGTTCTCTAAAATCGATTTTTGATCCATTTTCTATGAGAAGCTTTGCTATTTCTACATATCTATTTAATAAAAATGACATATTCATCAGTTGGAATTTCGGTGCTTAGTTTACTATCCTATTTTAGTATAGTTCATTAAAATCTACCACTAACCCGTGCTCACTGCATAAATGTAATGCACTATATCCACAGTCATCGACAGCGTTTACATCAGCACCGCGTACCAATAACAAATGTACAGCATCCATATTTTTTTGCCATACGGCGTAGTGAAGTGGAAAAAGACCTTGAGTAACCATTTCATTTACCTTTAAATTGAGATTGAGAAAGATTAAATCGAATCAAACTTATTAAATTAAAACTTTTTATGTCTACCTTTGCTCCACATGCCAACAAAATTCGAATCTCATCAAGTGGCTTCATCAATATAATGGCATCTGCAAGATTTCTTTGCAATATATTTGCCCCACACTCAGTCGGCATACTTAATAAGCGTTCTGTAAATAAAGTTTTGAGATTGAAACACATCGATTAACATCATTCAAAATTATTACATAACAAAACGAATAAATTCGTACGCTTTAAAGGGTTTAGTTTTAAAATAATTATCACAATAAATACCTCTGTCCATTTTTCTTGGTTTTTTATCTTTTAATTAGATTGTTTATTATTATTATTATTATTATTATATTCAATTGACAATATTTTAATGAATACAACTGCGTACTACTTTCAAGCTTCAACACAGTGTGAGACGATTTTTCATGCCAGAAATAATTAATTAACACGAGCGTCAAACCGAAATAACGAATGCGTCGTTGCCGTTCCGACGTAGATTTTCACAAAGGTGAAGCTGTCTTTATTGCGAAGAAAAAGAAGAAGAAAACAACTTCGCACAACAAATTCGTGTTTATGTTTTATTTTTATTCACTAAAGAAGTGATCAGTTTACGACGAACAAGCGTCGTTTACGAAAATCATTCAACAAAAGGCTATACGTATCATATGGATCGAAATACATGAGTTATTCAAAAGTTTATTGCGTCTCTTTGCATATATATTTTTCTTTAGTTTAAGACAACTCCTGCAAATTAATATTAAAATTATAATTTTGACTTTAAAGTTAAATTATTGTTGTTGTTGAACATACTGTATCAGTTATAAATAAAATCACGTTAAATTTGTATCAGAATAAGAAGTTTTCTTCACTTATTTTTTAATTTAAAGTTAAATTGAAAAAAAAAAAAAATGATATTCCAAATTTAGTTTTATTTTGGAAGTTTACGGAATGTGTTATTTTGATTGCATCAAAAATATCAATTTTGAAATCACATTACCGAAGTTCAAGATAAATTACACATTTAAAAATACAATCGGTTAACAATCATCTCAATATTTAATTAATGCCAGCTCCATTCATTTGAAAATGTTTGCAAATGAAATAATTAATAAAAGTTTGAATTGTATTACTATTGGTACCTAAACAACTGTGATCCTACCTTTTCTCTAAAAAGAATATTCCAGTAGTTTGATGTTTTTTTATTTAAATAAATAATTAGTTCAAATAAATCACAATTTTTAAACTTTTGCTTGATAACTTGTTTAACTGAGGACTCTTATTGCTTTTCTCGCAGCCGTTCGTTTTAAACTGACGGTTTGAATATGAATAGTCCTTTATTGTTGTTCAGAGAATGCTTTGTTTGTTTGTAGCAAAGATATATTTCGCATGTGAGTAAAAATATATAGAGTAGGCACGAGGCAACAAACGCATGAGAAAAGAAAAATACAAACGGCTAATACGTTTTGCAATTTCACTCTTTCGCTTGGTCAAAAAAAACATAAACAATGAGACAATTCGTCTCGATCTCGATCGTGCACGAAGTTTACGTTGCGTTTCAATTTTATCGTCCACGATCTTGCTAGTTATGTGTCTAGAAGGACTAAAGGAATTGAGCGTCATCGTAACATGTGACAAGTTCACAAATACAAACAATAAAGGGAACATTGAACGCAGTACGATTATCTACGTTTTCTATATAAAATTACGTTTCTTTGGTTTTATCGTATGTTGATTGCTTCTGTGTATTTGAACACTATCATCTGTGTTTGATAACGTTAAAGTATGGCAGACAAAGCGATAAATCACATATGACTAGTTCAGTGATCTACAAAACTTGCCCATCGATTTGTAATTTTTTGAATATATGATTTTGCTTTTCAATGGCTGTTCGCCAAAAGATGCAAAAACACGTATGTTAGAACAGCTCACAATGTGAGTCTCACATTCATTCAATATCATGGTGCACATGTTTAATATATTATTTGGACATTTGTTTTTTACTAAGGTCATATCGAAATTGCGTTGTATCATTGCATTTCTCTCAAAATTTCTTCCATGACTGCTAAAAATAGCTCCTTTGCAATAATAAATACTGTTGGCTCCGAGACGAATTTAAGCACATTTCATTTAACAATAACCGCTATTTATTTTATTTCTGAATTGGAAAATCTTTGTACGAAAGGAAGGAAGTTATAATGCACTATTGCCATTACATTTCAGTTTTTTTTTTTGAACAAATGAAGAGCATTTAATTGCACTGTAACTTGGTTTTAAAACGTTTTCATTGAATTTGATTGGTGACAATCAAGCAGGTTTGATTGAATTGCGAAAATGTTTAGTACAAAACAACAATACATACCAACTATATTTGTAAACTTTTCTAAATAAGTGAGCTTGTCACAAATGGAGCAAATCAAGCTTTAAAAGCAGCGGCTAGAAGTGGCGGAACCCCATTTTATTTTTTTATTTTAAAAATCAGAATTCGCTATTTAGTTTTTATACAATCGAAAAACATATGAGTATCGCAAAATGTTTCACAAAAAACTGAGAGTGATATGGATGATTACATAATACATAATATTGTTATTCATTACTTTTGATCATCTTCATTTAATGTTCTGACTTTAACACAAAAGCAATAAAAAACGAGTTCAAAAAAAATCCTAAGCAGTGATAAGAATTTGGTTTGTTTCGTTCCGTGTCGCGCGTGCATAGAATTAAAATTATCTTTTAACTTCCTCTTAAAGAAATTTCCAATAAATCCTTTCAACCTTTTAATTTTTAAACCCAATGAGACCTTAATTTCTACATGTGTGACCTGTGACACAGGAAATGAAACAAAGATATTTCTCATCAGAACTCAAGCTTTTACCTACTTTACATTATTTTGTTGGAATCGGTAGTCACGAACTTATCTTCTGGAGTACCAGCGGGAAGTATTTTGAGACCATGTCTCTTCATTGTTTTTATTAACGACATTGTCGAAATCGTGTCAAATGCACTTGTTTTATTATTTGCAGATGATTTGAAATTAATCCGAACCATACAATCGCCTATAGATGCAATCATATTTCAGAATGCCATTAATCAATTGAGCGAATGGTGTACTCGGGTGTACTGAAAATAGTCTGCATTTGAACTTGAAGAAATGTTTCGTTATGACATACTCAAAATGCGGAAACATAGTCAACTATGATTATACGATCAACAACGGCCAACATACATTTGAAAGGATCAACTTACACAAGGATCTGGGAGTTATATTTGACACGAAGCTGACATTTGTCAATCACATCGACGCGATTACAGCCAGTGCACATGGGGCAATGGGTTTCATCAAACGAACATTAAAGAATAAGTTTACAATTGAATCTGCTAAAATATTATATTGTGCACTAGTCAGATCAAAATTAGAGTATGCGAGTATTGTATGGCAACCATATCACCGTATCCATTCCAATAGAATAGAATCAATTCAGAAAGATTTTTTGATGAAAATTTTGTGCTACCACCGTATCAATTTAGATGTGATGTTTTAAATATTCAACCGCTTTTGAGACGGCGTATAAATGCCTCTGTATTTTTAATTTATGATCTCCTTTTGGGTAAAATAGTGTCGAGTTCACTTAGAAATAAAATTGTATATACAAGCCGTTATCAGCCGTTTTACGTAGCTTGTAGAAACTTTAACTTGATTAGAGAAACATTTTTAGAATCGGCATCAAGACACATCTTTAGAAACAATATTGTCAAATTAGAAAATGTGATATTTGATCGGTGAAAAATTTAACTTTTAACTTTTATGTGTTATTTAGAATATAGAAATTAAAACAGTGAACACAATCGATATCTGCTACTCCGAAGTCGAAAAGGCTGGTAGCTGGGTATACGATCGGGTGGTATTTCATTGTGAATGATATTGTACAAATTTTGTGATAAATTCAGTCTGTGATCAGACGGTGAAAAAATAAATAAAATAAATTTTATGAGAAACCGATTATACCCAATAAAACATTTTGTCCATTCTGTAATGCCATTCTCGGTAGCAAATGTGATGGCATATATTTAAATGTGAGAATCAGAACGATAAATTCATGCGCGTGTTATAACAAATTCTTATATGAATGGCATTCATAAAAGTATGATTAATAATTTTCATTTACTTAGTAAGCCTTTATAATCCAACAGACAATGCCAATATATAAGATCGAGTGACTCAGCTCTGAATGTGATTCAATAAGGAATAAGCAAACAAGAAACAATGTAACTTTCATGAGAATAAACAAAAACCCCTTCACAGTCATGCTAAAATAAATCCTTAACCTACTTTACATTAATAGTGGAACGCTGAAAGAGCGTATGTATGTAAAGATCAATATTTTATCAAAATTCATGGGAGATTTGATGTTTTTTATAACGTAGCACTTAAACTGAGGAAGCACACTTGCCTATTTTCAATTTTTGAGATTTTAAGATTCAGGAAAATGTTGATAAAAAAACAATAAAACTCTCGTTTAATAGATTAATTTGTATAAAAAATGTGTATGCTATTTTACCATATTCTAAGTGAAGATAGGTAAAGTAATCCAAAACATATGTATTATTATGTATAAGTAAAATTAAAGAGTTAAAGAAAAATGTCATGCGGAAATATTAGAAAAATATAGTCTTTAGCGCACATGATTCATTTAAGCGCACCTTATCTATCCTACTTAATCTTCCATCTAATTTGTGCCTTTGATAAAATGCTATAAATTTGCTTCGTGTGGTGTCTTTTTTCTTTGCGTGGGGAATTTATCTAACCTTTCCTCATTTTATTATGTGCATACTGTTAACAGGTATTAACAAAATGCGCAATCTTTTTTTAATTACTTCATTGTCATTAATTATGACAAAGCCTATGTTGACACTTTTGAAGTACATTCGTATGATAAACGATCAACGTAAATTGATAAAATTAGGTAAATGTAATAATTGAATTCAAAAATGGTTTGGACTATTCTCATGAGAATCTTTTTACTTTATTTATTGACAAATTACGACTCAGACGGTGTTGAAATTTATATTTGCGATATTATAAACTCGTGTTGTTTATGTCGCAAAATAAAATGAAATGAAAGATGAAATTCGGATTTACGCAACATTTTGAAGTGAAAACAGCAATACGGAACATTAAAAATGAGACTAATGCTAATACGTAGATTTCGGGCATTTGTTGAAATGATCTGAGTTATTTGTGTTTAAAAAAAATGAAGCAAAACAATTCTATGCCATGTTAAAAAAAATTCTTAAAAACAAATGAAACCTGCTATAGTCTTTTATACGCGTATTGCTATTACGTTCGTTTATTATACGCACTCGAGCAATACGCACCAAAAATTTGATTGAGCGCCTTTATTTGTTCATATAGAATAAACACAAATATTTATGATAAAGATAGAAGAGTTTACCGTATCTAAAAAAAGTTTATTCGACTAATATAACTGGTTAATCTGCGTACACAATACTAATAATAATCACTTTTATGTCAGAAGAATTACAGCACAACATTGACATTGATATTTCTAGACAATGGCCCCAGTAGTTTGATTATGATGAGTCAAAAATAATATTTTCATAGGAATAGCCTGATAGGGTAATTTTGTCACTCTTGTGATTTAAAACTATTTGTATTTAGATTAAACGGTTTTAATATTATGGAGCTTAAGACGCAATTTAGTTTAAATGATGTTCTCATATAAAATTGCACAAAAAAACTGTTAGTTGCTTCAAAATGCAAACCACTTCCAAATGCAATTGAATTGAACGATGAAAGCGTTTTTGTTTGCCATTTGTCGTACGTCGACATACGATTACTTGTCACGCTATTTCTCACTTCGTCCATCAAACACGCTCGGTACTGATAACGACCGCTATGACACGATCCTATGGAAATCACTTCCAAATAAACTGATACATATTCAACTAAAATTAATCTGTTTTATTATGAAATCAAATCTCATACACATTTAATATGGAGCCGTAAAAATATCGCTCAAATAAAAAAAGGTACTAGGCTTAATATCACGAGTCATCTCTTCTTATCAACGGAAGATTCAAATTTAAAAGCGACTGAACTTCAAACGGTTTGCTCAGTTGGAATTGAATCCGTGCTGTGAGCAATCAATTTGATTGAAAGATTTTCGTTTTCAAAACAAAATAGTCGTATTTTATTCAAAGAAGCTCTTCGGAATTCAACTATAAATCACTTTAAAGGATTAAAAAATTTAAAATCAATTTTTTGCAACTAAATTGTAATTGAAAATTTAAATTAAGTCTTAAATATTATAATTTTTCACAAAATGTTTCCGCGAAAATTAACAAGAGCCGTTGAACAATCACTCAAACCATCATCGGTAAATACGAAATTTGAGTTTGAAATCAGTGATACTGGGTATGGTAAGGACCACGTAAAGATATTGCACGTTCGTCGCGATGGAAATGTTCACCACATCAAGGAGTTTGAAGTAAATACCCACTTAAAACTCTACAGCAAAAAGGATTATTTAAACGGTAATTTTATGTTCGCTATTAAACTAACCCTATCTCTTGTTATTCGACAATTTAAATATTTCTGTTCATTCAGTTTCCGTAAATATTCATTATATTAACATATAATATGTAAAGCAACCCGATTATTGTTGAATAGCCAATTCTCAACGATTACGTTCCTCATTATGATCTCTTTAAATGCAAACCATAGCATATAGTATAGTTCAATTTGCATTACTTAAAGCTCCGTTAAACCAATCTGACATATGAATTTCTGAAAATCCTTCAATAACAATTAAGAATAGCGTTAACAAATATTTCGAATTTATTTTTGTGGTAAATCCTGTTCATTTATCCATTCATAAGAAACCGCCTATTGGTATAACTCTTTTATTTTATGGTGTTCTGTGTTTTCTTTTCGTTTGATTAGTCATAGTGGCATAGTCAAAACACAGACAGAATTACTGTTGTGATAATCAATGAAAGTGAGTCTCTCACAAAAAAGAAAACCAATACACTTTAAATTATCAAAACGAGTGAATGACATATACAAATAAATATTTGCACAAGGAAAACGAAATGAGTGTAGAACAAACGAAACTCCATTGTATTGAACTCATACATTTGATAGTTGATTTATGATGCAACGTAATACAGTATCAGTATTGAACTTTAGCCACATCGTTCATTCATATCGACACTGAATGTGTCCATATGCATAAACATTCGAATGCACATATAATGAATATTTTTAAATTCTTTGCGAAAAAAAAAGTTAATTGATCCATTGACAGTGAACACTTTTTATTTGGTTTTTAATTAAAATTTCATATTGATTAGCAATTTTAACGTCAATTGTTCGAATACTCTTTTGTTTGTTATTGAGAACTTCAATGTCCTTTCCACCGAGAGAGTGAAAAAGGAGAGTGAATAAGAGAAAAAAGAATAAGTCATATTGCGTGTAAATATTGGAAAAAATGTTTCGAATTTATAATTAATAATAGATTGCTGATTATCACTGTATACAGTATTATTAAAATAATTAATTAACATATAAAAGATTAATGTGTTAATAGAATTCATACTAATTAATTTTTTTTCATCAACTCAATCGTGGTATTTAGGCGACAATAGCGATATCATTGCAACTGATTCCCAAAAGAATACCGTCTATTTGTTGGCGAAAAAGTTTGGAGTGAAATCACCTGAAGATTTTGCTCTTACATTGACAAGACATTTTCTTTCGAAATATCGACATGTGAAGGAAGCTCATGTGCACATAGAAGAGCACCCATGGGACAGAATACGCTACACAAACGCGGAGAATAAACCAAAAGAGCATAATCATGGTTTCCTTTTTACGCCGGTGGCAACTCGTTATTGCGATGTAATTCATCAACGTGGTAAGTTGACACAGCGCATTGATAATATTATAAATGCTTAGAAAGAAAAAAAAGCGGGATTTTTTTAATAATTCAATCGTACAACTGACACATTTTACGGATTAAGATGAAATTTGTTTTGCTAACCTTTGACCAAATGATACTTAAATTCGTTTAAAAAACTGGTTTTAACTGGATTTCAGACATTTCTTATCTCAAGTTTCAAAAGTGATACACATACAAAAAACGTGCATATTAAGCGATTGTTTTTATAAATTGATTTGTCGGCATTTTTTCTTGCGATGTACTTGTAGAAAGAAAAAATTAACATATGAGAGAGAGAAAGAGTTTTTTTTTTCAATAAGCTGGCCTTTTGTAGTAGACAATCGTTTATCAATTTACAAAGTTGGATGATAATGTATGCAAGCCGTTAATTATTATTTTTCTATTGACCTATTCATGAGTCCAACTGCTGTAATTGAGTTTATTCCTTTAAAGCTCATTGAAACTACTAGAAAAATTAAGATAATAATTGAATTTTTTTTTGTTTGATTAGATGTCCGTCCAACGATAATAAGCGGATTGAAAAATTTAAGAGTGCTGAAAACAACACGATCAAGTTTTGTTGACTTTGTGGACGATGAGTTTCGTTCATTGCCCGATATGGAAGATCGCTTATTTAGGTAATCAATTTAGAATCGATCTTAATTTTTAATCAATTCGACACAAAACTAACTTAATACTTACTTTTCCTTCTAAAGTACTAATGTGAGCTGTTGTTGGGAATATTTGGAAATAAATGATGTTAATTTTGATCAAATTTGGACAACGGTCAAAGAAATTATTTTGAAAAATTTTGCCGGTGATCCAATTGAAGGAGTTAATTCACCAAGTGTACAAAATACGATATACCTTAGTCAAAGGTAAAATAAAAACGAAAAATTTATTATTTATTTATTTTATTCATTCATTTGTATTCATTTTTTTTTAATTCTAGAGATATTTTAGCTGCAATTAGACAGGTAAATATAGATTTATCCCAATGTATACCAATTATTATTAATCTTTGAACCAATTTCATACTTTTTTCATTCAACATAGATTGGCGTTGTGAATATTGAAATGCCAAACATTCACTACTATCCATTTGATATGTCAAAATTCCCAAAAGTGATACAAGGGGAAAATAAAGAAGTATATCATCCAGTCGACAAACCAAATGGAAATATTTTTTCGCAGCTGGCGCGAGTTGATAATCTAAAATCCAAACTATGAAATCAATTGTTCAATTCTTTTTATCAAAGTTTACTCTCATTCTGTACCCTGAAGAGTATTGTTACAACCATCTTCAATCGAAAGTTTTTAGTATTAGCTTAGAAAAAAATCTTAATTTTGTTAAATTTGTGAGAATATTGGTTGAGACATAAGACATGTATTATTTAATATTTAGGAATAAATGTAAAATCAAAAGAATTCAATTATTATTATTATCACCCACATACAATTCAATGAGAAATGAAATAATGATGTAGGGTTCTATGTTCAGTAGTCAATCAATAGTGCTATTGCATTTAACAGTTATTATTTCCGTTAAAATAATGGATGTATTTGGTTTTATAAATAGAGAAAGTCGCGGAATTTATTTGAAAACAAATTTCCTGACAAATTGAATTGTTAATAGCACAATCGGACATGAACCTTTCAAGTGTATTTTGTCTTCATGTTGTGCCAGCCAACAACTACAATATGTTCCATTGATTTTCGATACATACCTGCCGGGCGGCCAATTGATAGATAGGATTGAATAGGTTTTATTCGTTTCTGGGTTTGTGTGGGACTTATTGTCATTTCTTTTCCAGAGATATGCTATAATATGAAGATACAAGCTAGCGCGCGCTCCACAAGTAAACAAATTAAGTGTGTGACCGCTTTTATGTCAATAAGAATCTATTTGTTCAACGAATTTACAATTTCCATTCAATATATGTAGTCATCTATGCATGGAGAGAATGAGTTTCCTATTACTGATAAATCACAACGTCAACAATAAAAATCACTCTAAAATATGATTTTAAGGTGTGTATCGCATACCTATGTAGTCGAAGCAATGCAGAAAGTAACACTTTCTGATGTCATCTCAAAATCAGTTTTTGACTGCATTCCGTTGAATGAAGAAGTGAAATACGCTGTGGTGTATACAAAAGCCGATAATATTTAGAAGAAGAAAAAAATGTGTCACTGCAATCGTCTCGGAAAACTTACTTTCATTTTTATTTTATATTTTTTGGCAATTAAATATGTTTCAAGCCAAACTGATTCATATACAATTGGTATTCAACGAAATAAAAGTGGAACAACATCAAAGTGGTCCAAAAATAAATTGAATTATGATACTTGTGGCGGAACATTTCGTGATAAACAAGTGATCATTAGTTCTCCGCGTTATCCAAACTCTTATTCGAAAAATTTAAATTGCGAATACGTTTTTTATTCACCATTTGTGTGTACAAATGAATTTCATATACAATTTTTGCATTTTGACTTGGAACCATCTTTAAACTGCTTCAAAGATAAAGTTTTTATTGGCCCAAATGAAGTATTGTGTGGTCAAGTCGTTGGAATTATGAAGTATAAAGCCACAAATGGCACATTCCGAATAAAATTTATCAGTGACAATACAATTGAAAATAAAGGCTTTGAAATGTTAGTCACCCGATTACCTTGTACTGAACGTGACCTTAAAAATGACTCAAAAGAGTCATCTACTAGGAACGTTTTATCACTTTCTGAGCAGTATATAGTTCCAGTGACAAACAATTATAAATTTCATCCCGTGGCCAAGCAAAATAATATATTTTCGACGAATTCACCAGCAACCGTTACAGTGTCTAACTCAAATTCAGAAAGCAGCTATCCGGGAACATCAATTGTAAAACCCATTTGCTTAAGTCAATCGCGACCAAATCATAATAATTTTACTCCGAATTTACCTGGCTGCTGTGTTAATGTCTACAATCAACAAAAATTCTACCTGATCAGTCCTGGCTTTGGAAGTGAACCACAATTCTATAGTGATTGTTTATACTTTATTGAGCGTCATCATTCGAACGTTTGTCGATTGCGGATCGAATTCAAATACTTCCTTTTGGGCGGCGGGCAACAACGTCAATGCACTCATAGCTTTTTAGAAATTGATGGACGCCGGTTCTGTGGTTGCAAAACAGGTTCCACCTACTATACACAATGGGGACAATCGCCAAAATCAATTCGATTCGTAAATGTACCGGGATTTGGTGAGATTCAGGGATTCCTTTTGGAAATTACACAAGAATTATGTCCAAATAGATCAGTTGATTTGCTATCAGCAAAATATATTGACACATTTGAACAGCTTCCCTTGAACAATCATTTCATACACAAAAGCGACCCCCGGAGATGCTCACAAAATTACATTTCGTGGCTGAACATCAATACAAATAAAGAACTATTATCAAAGTCAATTTGTGTACGAAATTCAAGTTAAACCCCCAAAGTAGACCATAAGTGGGTATAATATATCAAATATGAACATTTAATGAATTTCGAATTGCAGTATGTTTCACTTGATTTTTACTATACACCTGTTGAAAATATTTCAAATTATTCAGCATCATTTAAATACAACAAACACAAGGGCGTAATTTTGTAAATGATATTTTATTTAAATGTTTTTTCCATTTGTCAAATTTTATTTGAGTAGATATACATTTAAAAGTGCGATAAATGGTAATATGAATAGATAAAATTGATGAAATTAATACAATTTAATGGATAATATTTTGAAATATTTTTTAAACTATGTCACAAGAATTAATATATACTTTAGACAGATAGAGATTTTTTTTTAGAGAGATTTACCTTTATTTTAATATAGAAGCTGCGTACATAAATGTTCTTTGGAATATAATGATAGATTGTTTTTCTCTTTCTTTTTTAATTCGAAAATTTTATAATTTTTTTTATAAATAAGGTTTATTGAAAACAAACTAAAGACAATTGAACAAAGCTCCGATGTAAATCTGTCCCTTAATTTTACACTTTTTTGCAACAATTACAAAGCATGTTACAAAGCGTTACTGAAGGTAACGTTTATCCTAAAAATCGAATGTTTGTGAAAATGTTTTTCGCAGGTCGCTTACGATTACAAAATGATACTGTTTTATGGTTATTTCCATTGCGATTCTCATGTAGTCCCATCAATAATTTGACTACATCTTCACGGCTTGGCACGCATAAGTATCTTGACTCAGACTCGTATCGTCTAAAATTTTATTCCAAAAAAAGTCAATAAATAAAAAAATAGAAATACTTGGAGTATCACATTTTTCATTAAATTTAGATAAATAAAAATGTCACAATTTCGTTTTAAATTATTTATTAGTTGATATGAAAAGAGTTCAAAAGATCAGCAAATGATGAAAACTTAATTAGTAATCATTTACTTACGTTCTAGACCGTGTATTTTGTCGTTTCCACGGGTATCGACGATAATATCGACCAGATCGTTTATTCATTAGCATGTCGTCCATTGGCTCATCAATATCATCTTCGATATACACAATTGGTAGAGGAGATTTTGCCGATGTTACCTTAGAAAATGCATAGAATTAGGCATTTATCATAAATGCAACTTTCATCATGCTAATATCAAAATGTCATCATCCTACGTATGACGTACTCTGTTTCCATATTGTGGCTCTTTTTCATTTTTCATAAAATTGATTCGATATGGCAAAATGGGAACACTAGCTTCAGGTAAAATTTGAGATTTATAGGAAGAACTAAGTGTGATGAGCTAATAATAAATAATTTATGCATTGAATTTTTGTATTTTTTCTTTTCGAACTCGAAGGAGACGATGCAAAGTTCATTTATATTGCAGCGTTAATGAATTTTGCAGAAATTGGTTGTAGAAATATGTACTATGCATAAATTACTGCCACCATCTTTTAAACAATATAAATGTTTTCTAGTATAATAAATTATGCGTATGCCATTCCTTCGAGAATATTTTTAATGCAAACAGACACACTTTTCCATTCACGATCAAATCCGTATTAAGTAATTATTACTTATGTTATTCTTCGTTGTTTTTCACAATAAAATACATACCTCAAGTAATTTCAGAAGCATAGCAGATTTGCTTGCAAGACTCTCGTCGAATTTAATTTCATCACGAAGTTCATCAAGCACTCTATTTAATTCCAAATTATTTCCATCTACAGTGAAATCATCACCTACATCCCCATCAGTTTCACTATTTAATATATCTTCATTCAAACGATCCACTGAAATGAAGTTATATAAATACATATGAAGTTTATATTGTCGATACATTTTTCCTTAATTCTAGAGCACTTTAATCGAATTTCTTGCTTTTTATTTGACGCAACGAATTTTATCACCAAAAAAAATCTCTTCCATCACAATCTTGTATACAATTAGGGAAAATATGAAAAAAAACTTTAAAAAAATAATAAATATGCTATAATTATTCTCTTAACGTTTTTTCAACTAACCACCTACGTGCGTGGTCTCTTCTCTTTTTGATCTAATTGAACGTTATGGGCAAGGAACGTAAGTTAAATTTGAATAAGCTTCAAGGAGAAGTAATAAATGTGTTTTCATGTAGAAAACTCATCGCTAGTTTCTTAACGCTTTTTCTTAATATAGCATATTTTTGAACTAATAATTTATGAATTGTCTGCCGGCAAAAAGAAATGAAATAATCTCCTGTCGGGTCGATAAGCTACAAGTTGTAAATGTTTAATTGAACCATATCATTGATTGGTTTATTATACTCACCAACTCCTGGGTCATAAACTGATATATCATTAGCTGGAGAAATTTGTTGTTTTATTGGAAGCGTTATTGTTTTTGTTGCCGCATCGCCGCGGGGAACGAAGCAATAAACACCATTTACTAATACGATTACTCGTAGAAAAGTTATAAAATCCATGCTTGTAAATGTATTTGAAATTTTCGTTTCAAGAATGTTGACAAAAATGGTATTCCAGATTCTGAAGAAGAAGGAGAATAAAAAACTAACGATTAACGAACATAAAAATCTAATATCCGTACATATCTATTACCAAAGTGATTCCTAATAAATGAAATTATCCATTCATCCGATGAAATAATGATATTGAATTTTGCAATCTAATTATTACAATTGTGTAATCTTTTTACTTATTTATCTTGCTGTTGCAAACGATTTCACTCTAAATGCTCGCTCATCTCAAGTACTTTTATAAATTGATGATTAATCACATAAGCTTCTATACTAGAATAGTGAAATTTTCACGAGAAATTCCTACGAGCAATATCAACGGAATCACTTTCATCGGTTTGAGCCCACAAAATCCCACATTGTCTCTGAGTAAACTTGTTATTAAAACCCCAGAAAATCCTCAAATCACCCTTAGTATCAAAAAATCCTTATATTTTAAAGGACTTTGTGCTTCTATATTTTTGGTTTCATATTTTGGATTTATAATGGTCAACAATATGTCCCAAATTTGCAGTAAAGAAGTAGTAATATATTATATTATAATTTTCCTGGAAGAAAACCTTTTCGTTTTGTTACTTTTTGCGTGGTTGGTTATTTTTTTTTTTCTTTGAAATATCGTTATTATTTATTGTTTGATGAATGGTAATTGCAATCTTTTTTTCTCAAAGTCAATGAATATGAATAGTTTCAAATGATTAAGAACGAGGAGAAAGCAGATAAAATAGAACACATTTTTTTATCATATTGTGTACTTAATCGTCATTATGCACACCCTTTACTTGATTTATACAATAGAGTCAATACAGGACCTGATTTATAATAAAGTGGTAAGCAAGAAAATTTTAATTGGACATTTAACACGATGTTGAAATAATTAGGATTTTCGAGAATTTGTACCCACAGTCTAATACATATTTACTAGTCTAATGAAAGTAAGTCATGACTCATGGTCAAAAGCCATGGTCATGAGTTATTATTATTTGACAATGAAATTGAAATTGATTTTATTGTGCTGTACTCTGATGGTGGTCGTATTTGCTTGAATTTACAATTTAGCAAAAAAAAATGTTGCGAGAAAAATGTCAAATCACATCAATTCTAACTTATACCAAAGTTAGATACGAAACAACCAGAACGTAAGCCATTTGTTGGAAGAAAAATGTTTATTGGAAATGTTTTTGCAACTTTACTTTTCTTTCATTTTCTCAATATCGAATATTGAATGCAAACAAAACGTACAATACTTTTCGATACGATTGGTGGTCACATATATTTTTTCTCTCTCAAGAGTTAAAAATTGAAAAGGAAAAACGATATGCGATTATTAAATATTTAGAGACTTTTCGTTCGATGTTCAATTTCGATCAATATATTATTGGTCATTTTATTAGCAAATACACTTGACATTTAATGCTCTCTTAGAATGAGAATGAGATCATTTCTATCGGATAAGCACACACATCGAGGAAAATTGTTTGTTTATAAAAAAGCGCGTGTTTAAAAAACCAGTTGTTCAAGCGCGTGTTAAAAAAAATGCCACTTTACGTAAATGTAAATAGCACTTTTTTGTCGTCGTCTTCATCGTCGTTATCATCGACAACTTAATAGTATTTTATCCACTTGAACACCCTCGATATACGAGCATATCATCAATCATTTACAATTTCTCTCGTGTCACTTCCGATTTAATATGCTCGTAGTAGAAGATTCGTATAAATTTAAATTTTAGATATATTGATGCTAAAAGCATGTTCTATATATGTCTTCTTTTTGATTTAATTACCGAAAATGAAATAAATTCCGCCCAAGCAAAAATGTGTTTTCGTTTTTTATAGATATCTTTTTTAAATTTTCTAATGACACACTTCAATGTTTACTTGTATCTTATTTCCAATTTATTTTTATTTTTTTTTTAAATAAAATTATCTAGACGATTCTGCAATAAAAATTTGTTTAAACATCAAAAGCTATGTTCTATGATTATTTGGGAGGAAAAATCGATTTACAAATGCGTTTAAACGTTAATAAATTTATTTATCTATGTTATCAATTTTTTTTCAAAATTTCAGTTTACTTTATAGCCCTAAATTTGGAGTAGAACTTTTTCATCGCACTTCTTCGCGTACACAAATAAAGAAACTTAAAGCCTTCTATATTTTCTTGCAACTCACCCAAAAATATTTACGAGAACACACTGTCTTGTGAAAATTCAACAAATTGACAAAAAATTTAACTGCACTGTGGAAAAGACCATGCTTCAATAAAAAATGTTGTGTAAAATTCAACAGTTTGCACTATCACTATTCTACCAAGCGAAATTTCTCTCTCTGGCTTTTAACAATACGACCACTTGTTGGAATATCCGATCGAAACAGTTTGAGCACTTGGCTTTTATACGAAAAATTTCATCTACGCGTCGATGATAACGCATGTTTGTTCGATTCTGTTGGATGGATGTCGTACATCAGCCGCTGTTGTTGTCTCCGTTATGGAAAGCTCAATTTCAAAGAGTGTAGCATAGTTCATAGTTCAAATGTTCCCCCTCAAACGAGTCTGAATGAATGGAAATGTCTTGTTAAATTTCACTTAAAAATGCGTGTGCTCTTATATTGCATACTATTCTTGATTGGTAAACGTACGCACTTTACGCAGTGACGCGTTAATACCAAAAAAGCAACGTCAGCAAGTTTACATTTTAATTTTAAATATATTTCGATCTCGAATGATGATCATTTATTATTTCGAACAGTTGCATAAGAAATCAATAAATTGGAAAATCGATTTTGAATTTTCCTATATTTTTTAAATAGTATTTATTTAAAAAGAAGAAAGGATTCTCTTTTATTTTGAATGAGCAGAACAGTTCTAATTTTTAATTCATACTCACACAATTCAAACAATTATATTATAACCATTTTTTAATATTTATCTATTTTGATAAAAAGTACATTATATTATATTAACCTCGCAAAATCATATTCATTGATACCATTAGCAGTGTCAGTGTAATTATAATTGTTGGTTTCAAACGAAATTTAAATTCAGATTCAAGCAGTGTTATTTTGAATGAAAACAAAAATCAATACCACTGTGATGTATTGAGAGGTATTTCTAAAGGGCTCATGTTTGTGCAAAATTTCCATTGAAATCAAAAACAGAGAGATGAATGAATTATTAATTAAACCCGAAACTTACACAAAGAGTTTTCAATGTGAGTTTGGATAAAGTGCACTGTTCATTCGAATCTCTTTCTGAATGAATAATAACCAATTTGAATGAATTCCGTTATTATCGATGGTTTAACGTAATTGACTTTAACACCGTTTCCACTCAATTGGCGGCAATTGATATTGAAGTGTCCATTGGAAATTTTGTATTTTATTAATGATAATATTTTTTTTATAATTGAAAAACGGGCAATGCCATTGGATTTCCATTTGAGACAAAATGGAATTAATTCACAGCATGTTTTGTTGGATCTATCCAGATATTTACACACATATATTAAATACACATCCAGATATTTTTTTTAATTTGAACTATTGTATGTTAAAGAACTTTTAAAAACATATACAATATTTGACTTATAACGTAAAAGAAAAATTAACTTGGAGCTTTTCGACCCAAGTATTTGTAAACGTCTTGCTAAAAGTATGATCAACATAATGCATCTTTGTGTCTTTTCCGCTGCTGAAAATATTGTCCAATATAAAAAGCATACATTTGGAATGATTAAGCGTTGTATGCCCGGATAACAGCTCTATATTTATTGAAAGCCCAAAAAGGACTCAATGACAAAATTAACACTCAAAATCGAATACTTCTTTTTATAGGAAAACCAAATATAGTACGTTTTTATTTTATGTTTTTATTTATGAAAATATGATTTTAATTCTATATTATAGAAGTGTTTATTTCGATTTTTTCCTTATTTATTAAAAATAAACTTGATTGGGGAAATACGATTAAGTTGCATCATCTTCACCTTCGTCACTCTTGCTTTTATCTAAAATATTCTCAATGTTAATTCCAACAATTTTTTCTGCTACGCTGTATAATTCTCGGACATTCTGTGAAGAAATGTATGAAAAATTGTGTATAGGTGTAGCATAGTTAGCTGAATTTCAATTACCTTTGCGCTTTTGAGTTTGGCAATCACTGGATCCATATAAATGTCCCTTGTCTGTATATTTTCGACATCATCTTCACTTGTTATGCTTTTTGTCTTTTCTGGACTATCTTCTTGTGATTTATTTGGCTGATCAGCTTTTAATTTTTTCAACTTGAAGAATGAGAATATGCCCTAAAAATTTGAAATGAGTTTTTAAATCACACATATTATAAAGCAACAATAAAAGCAACAGTAATGAGCGTAATATGCTAGGTAATATGCCTTTGATTTCTTAGGTTTAGTGCTAGCTTGACTGGCAGTATCACTATCCATTTGACTAGCGTTGGTATTATCGTCTGAATTTTCACTCTGAAATGTACCCTCAGTATCCGAAGCTCTAAGTTTTGCTGCAATTGACTTTAATTTTTGAACAGAAGCCTCACTCATTCGGCGCCTGTGATAAATTTTAAAAAAACATTTCACGTTTTGTTAGTTTAAGTGATTGAGAGAGCTATGTCATTTATTGCCTGACACGAACTTTGCGTCAACAACTCTTATATCCCTCGTAAATGGTATAAACTTTTTCTCTTTTGGTTTGAGACGGTTTAACATCAATGCTGTTTCTGTTGCAAGAAAGTTCTCCATATTCATTGTACCCCTTCTGAAACATTTCACAAGTGCTCGCCGTTTTTCTGCATTTTCGAGTTTTTTAACTAAACTCTTGTCAGTTGACAATAATTCCATTTCTTTTAATTTCATTTCAACTTCGTTTTGTCGTTCTCTTTCTTCCCATAATATATGCTCTGCTTCCCACTTTTTTGCCAATCGATTCATTCGTTCAGAAACACGTTCTCGTTCAGTTTTGAGCTTTATTAAAACAAAAATGAATACATATTTTGAGAATTTCCTTTTTATTTGCAGTACTTACTCTTGCTCTTCTTTTAATCGCAAAATTTGTTGTAGATTCATTCATCACAAGTACTGGATGATTCTTTAGTTCTTTGGGACATTTTGGTAGCTTTCCCTCCATCAATAAAACTCTTTGCCGCTGTACTTCTTCCGCCTAAACAAATACATTTTTTCTTGTACACATGAAATAGAATATACATATATTTTGGAAAAAAATAAATGTCATGAGATCGTACTGCATATCCAATAATACTGTAATACAATATTACCAAGACTACGAAGTGCAGATATCAATTTTTTCGTCATATTTTATGAGCAATATAAAGCAGTTTCATTTCGTCAAAGACAGAAAGAAATGAAATGAAACAAACAAAGTGTTTACGGTATATTAAAAATGACATAATAAACAAGTCATATTTCTGAATATAATATCACTTGATATAAAATTAAAAGTGATACATGATTACGACAGATTACATACAAAAAGAACGTAATGCTTATAAAGTATAATATTGTAGTTGCAATTTCTATGTAACTTTTCGCAACATCCATTGATAAATGGTCAGATGTTTTTTTAATGAAAGAACGTCTTAATTAGTGACTTGAAAGTACCATAATAATCAAAGTGTATAGGATTGTTGGATGTTACGTTTATATATGCCGTGTGGTATTAGAAGGGAAGCTGACAGAGGAAATGCAATTTGAAGAATATGATTCGAAGAAGCCGTTCAGCGTTGTTTTGTGGATTTAATTTGTGTCATTTCTGAAATTATCACGTTTGTCAAAACAAACGAGCCTTACGTGAACGGCAAACATAAATAAGTGACTCAGAGCTGTTGTAAAAGCTGTTATGAAACGGTATTCAGTGAAAATTATTGGGTGTCATTTCAAAAGTCACGAAAACATATTTTGTTTGTTCTGTTACAGACAAGACACCACACTGAAATAGCAATAATGTTACTTTTATGGTGTGAATCGTTCTGAAATATTTAAATAGCTACAGGGCCTTTTCCACGGATCTTCAAGCATTGTTATTCGAAACCTGTTTATTTCCAATTTTCACCAACTGGAAATGAATCGACACAGTTATTTACATTGTTTATTTCACAACCAGACATTATATGGAGATATTTGAGTCAGCCAGTTGAGTCAGCTCAGGAAGCTAACGCCAGGCAATTGAAGTGGTTCTTATAGCTATAAAAACATTTCCATTTTTTCAATCAGTTCTATTGTTTTCACTCTATTTTAGCTCCTGACGTTAGCTGCTTGCTTAAAATATCCAAATATAATGCATGTTCACAACAAAACAGAAAGAAAAGGATTTAGTGGTGAAAACAGGAGTGTTTTTCCAAGATATATATATACATAATATATGTTCGAAGCGTCGGCTATCGAATAACTACTTAAAAAAACTTATTTGATTTTCCAGTATTCTTGAAAAAAGAAACCCAATAACTGCCTACAATTTCATATATGATAAGATAAAATTCCCTTTCTGTGCGTTTGAATCTAGCTACAAAAGCCAACAATTGCTATGTAAATAAGCACCAAATATCACGGAGAAAAACAAATGCGCTTTATCTTTGGACATATTAAGGTTTTGTTTGCACGTGTGCGCGTTCAATAGTGAAAGGTGTTTTTTGTTACTCGTCTGCTTTATCTGCAGTTTCATCGAATATTTTATTGAATATTAAAAACCACGCGACTGCTATCGTTGTTCACATTATTTTCAGGCGATTGACGAAAATCGATTATACATACGTTAGATATAACATATTTTTTTTGAAACAGGCACAAAGAGGAGCGGGACGTTGTCATGAAAATAAAAACTATACATATTGATTGGGGTGAACTCGTTTAAAGTAAGTAATTTTTTGTAGAGAGATGACAAAATCGAAAAGATATTAAATAGGAAAAATACTTCTCGAGGTACTGTTTTGAAAAACATACCTGTCATGCATTACCTTAAATTTAACAATACGATGCACCCCACCCGTATTTGTATAATCTGTTATATTCTGCACTAAGAGTGGTAACGGAACCTTTGATTATTGAACCAAATTTCCAAGCTTGAAAAGTTTCAGTTGCAGTGATTTGCAATAAAAATGCTTAAGAATTGTCATGGTAAAAATACGAGTACACAGCCAATATAATTTAATTAACATCCACTGTTGCACTGTTTTCAAAACAAAATTAAAATGTTTACTTCTTAACATTACCTTGCGCTGATGAATTCGTTTCGTCAACATATTTTCAAAGTCCTCAGTGATGCGTCGCCTTAGCTCCGACATGTATTTTTTGTCAGTAAGATGCACAACGTTCGAACCCATTATTCGTTCAAGTTGTGCGTTTACACGCGGTAGGTTGAAACTTAAACAGATAAAATATTTGAAAATATAATAAAACTGAATTCAATAGTTTAATAAGTAAATCCTTTTAATTCTATTGTTCTATATCTATGTGAATAAAATGTTAAAATGTATTGTTATTGTTCTGCATTAGACAAGATCACAAAATAGACTAAATAGTTGACATTTTCCTTTATTCGTTCACAATCTGTTTTCAAGTTGCGATATGTTATAATATTATTCAAATCGAAAGACTAATAAATTGACAGTGATATATGATTTTGGCGTCATGCATGCAAACGTTATTAGGGAAAAATAGACAGAATATCTGCATGTAGTAAAGGTATAAAAGAAAAATATATGATTATATGCAAATGAATAGTGAATTAATCATCAATATTTTTGCTTCTAATACAAAATGTACGCAAAGCATATCCTCTAAGCATGGTTCAAAAACATTCGAACTCATATTTTGGGGACTTTTTTTGTAAATTCGAAATATATATATATTTTTACGAATAGATTAAACGTTCTCTCATGCATGCACGCATGCAAGTGCTCGTAGAGAGACGCAGTAAAACTATTTACTGTTGAAAAAATTTCAGTTGGTAGTGAAAAAAGGTACTGCTTATTGAAATCGATAAATCGTAGATTTGTAGATACTTAACCTTGGTTAGGAAAAAATACTAGAGTATAACTTGTATTCGTTGTTGTTAAATTCCGATCGACTTACAACTGTTGTTAACACAGATTAAAAATGTCACAATATACTAAAATATTCTCTGATCAACATTCTTGATTGGTGGAGTGAAATGTCCTCATTTTATGAGTATCAACGTTGCTAATCATATTCAATAAGGGTTTTTCAGATGTCATGTCTTTTTGTGCCCAGTGGTCAAATCTGATGAGTCAATATTTATCAAAAATTGTATTCATTGTTCACTTTGACGTGAACAGAATATGACTGTAGTATCATTTGATATAATTCATTCAGAAGGCGAAGAAAAATCGAAAGATAATATAAATACGCATTTCGAGATGAAATCAAGAAAATTCATGCTCACATTGTTACTTGTCGGTGTTGAATCGTATATTAAGAATAAAGATACAATGCACGCACAACATCTTTCCACTTTTCGTTTTCACTTTCTTGTCCTTTCACAAGTTGAGTAGAATAAAATAGTTACATTTCCTTCCATGGTATAGTTCATACTCAAATCAATCGATAATGTTTTTTTCCCTTTTGCACTAATACCTTTTTTCTTTTGGATTACACGCGGTCCACCACTATCCTTCACATGAAGAAATTTATTACAATATTCTTTTCCAAATGTGACGCCTTTACCCGTAACAGTTTTTATGTCTTCCCACACAAATGAAATTTCCATAAATCTTGACATATTTAAATTTAACACGCAACAGGAATATTTTACTATAGTAATGACAATGTGTTTCAGCGTCATATTGAAACAATATACATATAAATTTTAGCGTTTTCTTTGAATAATATCTATTCTAGATATGCACATTCTATGAAAACTAAGATAAATTCATCTTTGTTATTTGAACCATAAAAATCCACTAATAACAGCATTACATTTGAAGGTTAATAAATTTAACCTTTCGAATTATAGCTAAATAAAAATTTATTGTTTGCATTTTTGATGGTTTGCCAGTTTTTTCACAATTGAAATACATTGAAAAAAGCTTTACATGCACACTCTGAATCTCAAAGAGACATCCAATCAAATAGGAAAACAAATTGAAGTATTTGATGCGTGGTTTGGCAAACACTTTTTAACATTTGAGCTATGTTTTCCAACATCGTGGTAACTCAAGCTTGTTTACTTCAGATGCTTGCGGCATCGTCTGATGTAATGTTGAGATGAAAAATTAAATTAGAAAATTGGGACTTGTTCAAAGGTTAGGCACGAAACCAAAGTCTATTGTCTAAAGTATTGGGCAACAGACGGGTTCCGGCATTTTCTGGCATATAATTGGAAAATTAAAATCAAAAGCTATAAAATCACCTGCTTGGAGTAGCAAATGTACAGTCAAAGGCGAAAAGATTTTTTCGTGAAAACTCCATTAACTTTACTTTGAGCAGCAACAACCGAAAAGTTAAAATTTCAACTTCAAATCTGTACATACCGACGGTCTGCGACGGAATGAATGTCTTTCGAAATTTGTAGTAATAATGTGACACTACAGCCAACTTTTATGAATAAATATGCAAAAAAAAAGAAAAGAAAGAAGCGTAAAACGAAACACGTTGTGCAAAATAAAGTAATAATATTTATTTATTTCTGAAGGAATAGTAAAGTAATAAAGGTTATTTGTTGTCTCATAGCACCACAAATGCTTCCGTGTATCAAAAACGTTACCATTAAATATTGATTCCATTTGCTTTCCTTATTTATTAATTTTGATGTTTGCTTTCGGTAAAATAATCGAAAAAAATATTGAAACCCCGTTCCAAAGTTGTACAATATAAGGCAGACGGTACATAGTATTTTGTCAAGCGAAACAAATTGAAAAACAAAACACTAACTTGAATTCACTATTTACAGACTGTCGCCAAATCTACAGTTTTTTTTTTCTTTTGTAAAAATGTTTAGGTTCACCGCGATGGGAGATTCATTTTTATTGATCAAATATGAACATTTTTACAAAAAAAATTGTCCTATCACAAAATGCATTGAGAAACTTTTTCAATTTATTTCAGTGTTTTTTTCTCTCGATAGGAACTAAAATGTACCTGCAATCAATAATTGGAATATTGCACGTTTGTAACAATCTTTTACTCTTTTCAAACACCTCTTCAGCATACTCATTTCTGGTGTTTCGTAAAACGAGCGCCTTTTGTGCGAAAGCATTTGCAATTGCAGTGGCATTCTGACCGGGCATAATGCGTACAGAGCTACGGCGAGATGATCCCCGCCTAGACGCACACGTTGGTATAGTTGATGGCAAATATTTTCTGCTATTTATAAAAACGTGAAATTCACAAATCTGTACCACAAACAATATTATTCATAATTATCTTCTATTTACCTGGCTTTGAACTTTTCTTTCTTTCGTGTTACTGACACTTTTGGCACGTTTTTGTTGTCCCATATCATTTCATTGTTTTCCTTATTTATAAAATTTTCAATTGCAGTCCAAACACCACAATTTACTTTGGGTGTATTTAATTCAATCTCTTCACTCATTTTGTTAAATTTGGGCATATACAAAGGGATGTTGGATCTTATAAACTACCCAAGCGAATGTCTTGTTCTTTAATATATAGTCAATGATAAACAGTAACTGGTGTGAATGAGTTTCTATAGAATAAAATTCAACAACCACAAAATCGATTTGAGTTTGTTAGATATGTGGTTCTAGTTACTATACTAGATTGACGCATGTCGTTTCGAAATATGAATAAATTAAAACACTTAATTTGGACCATTGAAAGAAAAAATTACAATAAATAATATTTTTTTAACTCGCATTTCTTATGCATTCAATACAATTTCCATATTTTTTCTCATGTATACTTTTAAGCTTAAGTTTTGCTTTGAGCGATTCATGTGTCATTTGAATATATTAGTTCTGGGTGAGATTGACGCCAAAGCATATGTTAAAACACAATGTTTTGAATTTGTCTGACATTCATTCTCGAACAATGGAACCATTTCCGACCATACAGCACGAACATGCTTTTATGTTGAAGCGTCAAAACAGCAGAACGCATGCAAAGTGATGGATGGAAGATAGTGAAATCCAATAAAAATCAATGTTCTTGTTTGAATTGGCAACGCTTTGATTGCGGCATAAATTTCATTTAATCGCACGCCTGAATAAAATATCTGTTATGATTTATTTTGAAGCAACCTACTTTCAGGCGAATAACTGCACAAATCGAACATAATATATGTAACAAAGGTGAGAGTCATTCATTCACTTAATGTTATTCACACAGTTGTTGTTTTGCGTGTCATAAAACAATGAACAAACATTCAAAACAAAAGCCAAACTTTGAATTATTTTATGATTGTCGCACCTCAACCAAGTACTTTCTACCAAAGTTTTTTTGGAATGTTTGAATGAAAATACTTAACGATAATTTCCACAACAAAGTTGAATTGTCCCATGAATAAAGTTTTTTACGTTTTCTATAACAAAAATTCGATTTAAAAAAGATATTGTCTTTCATAAAAAAACCTCAATCAAGCATTTACAAATTACAATATAAGAGATTGTTGCCAAGAATAACAGTTGATTCAGATATTAGTTGTTTTCATCGACTTTGACTTGATTTGAATTGAAATAATTATTTAGTGACATGAGTCGTTGCTAAATTTATCAAACAATAATTAGCATGACTATAAATATCAAAGTATTTTGCATTGAATCATTTTTATCAATTAATTCATTTTCTTTTGTCCATTATAATTTTTATCACTCGCATTCCTCGAAATTTTATGACTTTCAATTTTTATTCGATAATTAGGATCGAAAACTGCAATGAATGAAGAAAAAGTGTTTTCTTTTCAACGCATTTCTCGTTTCGAAGCATTTTTTTAATCGTTAAACCAGTTTTTCCATGACTCTCTGAGTTCAAAATCAATGTAATTTTCAAAGTACTATAGCAAAAACCAAAGAGAACGGATGTGGTGTATGCGCGTAATGTATGTAACGCACAAGATCAATGTCATATAACTTGACTTTCATTTAAATTGACTTCTTGAAGTAATAATGTATAATTCATATGCAAAATTACAGGCTTCAAGTCTAAAATTATCATGTATTTAATGAACGTGTTCATATTTGAATAATCAAAATTCAAATTAAAATGAATGCGTCTAACAGTAGTTCTTTAATATCATCTGTGATGTATTAATCACAAAGAATATGCCCAATTTGATATTATACCGACCATTCAAAGAAATGTTAAATGAATTAAAATTGCTCTGAAAGTTCGTACGAATGTATTTATTTATGTGAGAAGATAATTTTTAATCTTTATTAAAATCCATGTCGCAGTTATTGCGTCATATGGTGAAATATTTTGCATTGCATTCGGATATCTGGAACAAACATGAAAAAATTCATGTCGAATAGCGGAAGGCTTAAGATATATATATGCATCTACGCTAAAAACAAGTTTGATGTTGAATTTGAAAATTGTCTATTACGCAAAAGCGCAAGACAATCAAATGTGGACGAAGAAATAACAACAACACACTCAACAACAACAAATGAAAAATTCCCAATAAAAGTACAAATTGAAAATGCACTCAACAAAAATCAATTTCAAATTAAAGCAAAGCATGGCAATAGACAGAAGGAAAATGAAAACTCTGACAGCGGCGTATATAGGCGTTCATGTTAAACGTTTTAACGGCCTACACCAATGTTGGTGCTAAGGCTTAAAGAACTTACCATTTTACCATTGAAAGTATTTGCGTTAAAAACAACTTGAACATATCAGCAAACCATTCGAACATCGAACACTATCGACTATTGCAAACCATGCAAAACTGACCAAGCGAAGCCATAACAATAACAGCAACAACAACAACAAAAACAACATTGAATTAATTGTTTAACAACATATTGCAATAAATTATCACACGTTCCAATGTGTGTAATATGTATGCTATTGGAAAAAGTGCACACGGAGAGCAGTATGCTGGGCAAAACCAATGGTCTAATATCACATCATGTAAACTTGCATCAAATTAATTTATGATATTGAACGCACGGCATAAACGCGAAGTGGTTGAAAGTCACCACATCAGATCTTTCTATACTTTGTTTGTGTAAGCATGGTTTTAGTTCAATATCGAAATGTGTTTTATGGTCAGTACGAATGTTGCGAATGCTTAATACGATAGTAGGAAGGAAAACACTGTACTGCTGCTCCATTTCTATTGTAACGTCTGAATGTTTGGTTGTACAATATACACATTAAAAATGCAATGAGTGCAAGTGCTATGCTCAAATGTTGTGAAACTTGTACTTCAACTACAGAGTTTGGTATTTAATTCAGATGGTATATTTAAGTTCGATTTTTATATTTCAATCTGAATTGAAATCGATAAGAATCTATTTATTTTATTGAACAGTTTATTATGATTACACAAAATTGTGATTGAAATCAATTTTGAACGAATGATTAGAAAAGCATTTCAATTGTATATCCCATATTTATTGCAATAAAATTCAAAACTTCGAAATAATTACTTAACTATGCCTGCAAATACTAATGGGTGATACACCTGTGTTCGATCATAACAATGATTAGGTGGGCATTCCAAAGGAATTGAACGAAATTTGTAAAACTATTACGTAAAGAATGAAAAATTCTTGATATTTTGTGTGCGAAATTCAATATACAATTTGTGGTCTCCTCCATTATGACAATTTTCAACTTGAAATTTTACTATATAAAAGAGCGTTAGCCAGAAATCATTCTCAGTATATCTAAGAAAACAACGGTATATTTGTTGATTCAACAAAAGATAGCAAAATGAAGGTATGTTAAAAGGGCAGAACGCACCATAATTTGTAAAACAATTGGATATTGAAGGAAAATGCAATTATAATACATCGTTGTTAAATATAAATATTTTCAGTTGTTTTTATATGTGTTCGGTTTGGTTTTGTTCGAAAAATCGTTTGGAATTCAAGTTATTGATATTGCAAGTCGTTATACAGATGGACCACAAGGTCCAGCTCTGATGAATTTTGAGCCTCGATACAGTCTTCCATATGGTTACGCCGATGTTTTCATTGGTCCACCCGCTGGCACCAATTCTATTGCATTGAACCAGGGAATTTTTCGTGCTCATGGTTTCATTCCTCGTCGAAATAATAATAACTATGATGGGTAAGCATAAATTTCAAGAAAAAAGGTTATGAATTAATTATAAAAAGATTATGAATTAATTATGTTGCAGGCAATATATTGCTATAAATCGTGGTGCAATACATGTAGCGCCGTTGATGGGGTATTTGCGATCAGTGAAATCGGCAAATCTCGAACCAGCTCCAGCGACTACGTGGTAGTACACATTGTTACTAATTTCTTAAAAATTATGTTAATTTGTGTGTTTTTTCATAGTAATCAATTAAGATTTTAACCATTTTTGACAAATAAAAATGATTTATCACTAATAAATTTATTATGAATAAAACAACTTCTTTATGCAATGCGTGAACAGAAGAAGAAGATATATTTTTCTGGATTTTTTTTATTTAACTTTTATATTTAACGAAGTCATTTCACTTTTAAATCGAAAATAGACAACGTACAGAATACACATCAATTTTACAAGTAATTATTCCTGAAATTAAACTTCACAGATTGAATGAAACAATATTGCTTAAACATAAGTAAGTATCATTTTATGTGTCGTTCATATAAGAAAATCAATATCCGTTGGTTAAATAGCTGTCGCTGAATTATTTGCTCAACCGTGATCACTTTCGGTTGATTCGCAAATTGTATTGTCGCCGTTATTTTGTTTTCAATTATTTTCTTTATTGCTATTTTTTGTTTTATCAGGATTTGCTTTCTTACTCCCATCATTTGACGATTTATCAGTTGTAGTTGAATTATCATTTTCTTGATTATCATTTTTTTGATTATCATCCGTTTTACTTTTATTATCAATTTTACTTTTTGCCTCCAATTTGTTTTCATTTTGATTTTCAGTTTCTTTCTCATTTTTTGCATTCGAAATTTCGGTTTTATTTTCTTCTTTCTTTTTGTTTGCCTTATTGATTATATCATTCAAATCGCTGTCGTCGAGTTTCGAGTTTACATTCAATGTTATGAGTGGCGCGCCTTTTGGCGGTCCTACTACCGAATTTTTGAGCAACAGTTCACCACTTTTAGTTGGTTCGTTTGAGACATCATCCGCTCGACGAACACGATATCCTATATTGATACTCCGTGCTTGCGCTGACAAATTTATAACCAGCAACGAAAATAATAAAATGAACTGGAAGAGAAAAAACAAAATACACTTTCTATTGAATAAAAATGTGATTTATGTATTGGAAGTTACCTTCATGGTGAAGTTTGGAAAATCTATTTCATTCAAAAGTTGAATTTAATGTGACGATGAATTTCAGAGGTATTGGACTTATAAATAGTTTCAGTTGAGGAAAACCATAAATATTGATACAAATCAAAAATTTGTTGTTAACACGATGTTAATCAATTTAACATTTTTTAGTTGAAACCAAAAATAAACAAATTAATGTAAAGTTGATTTTGCAATATTAAGCAAGAAGAACTAACCATCGCCAACCGTGTTTTTGTTATTGATTCTTCATAGATGTATGTTAACACTTTATGCATGATTAATTTGTGATTTGCATTCAAGTTTTTTTCAATCGATCAAGAAAAGATTAAAAAAATTACTGATTTCATTATTAGATGAGTCGATTTTTTTAATTGAAATTTTTTGAAGCATGAAATTTAAATCCTGTTCAACATACAAACCAGTTGTGTTGAAACGTTCAGTTAATAAGTAAAATGGTAGTATTCCTGTTGATTGGTATCAATATGGAAATAGATATTCTATAACGTACAATTTGCTTACATTTTACGTATCACAAATTTCTCAATACATCCAAATAAATTGAATTAAATTGTGTTATTAGTACATTTTCAAGTAATCCATGTTGTGAAGGTGTTGAAAGAACATTTTTTATTAGGAATTAAAATATTGTTTTTATTTTTTGTTCCCACTCATTACCTAACAGACAATTCACCGGTTGAGGCTGTCATTCAAATGTCAAGAAGTTGAGTTCACCGTCGCGAATCAATGCAACTGGCTATTGCAACAATGAACAATGTACAACTGAAATACAATTTTCAAGCGTAGAAAACATGCATGCTACATGAAATCACATAACACGCGTTATAACAAAAATGTGATGCGTAACTTATTTGGTGCTTTCATCGTTGATATAAAAGCGAAACACCATCCAATTTTCAAAACAGTTCTTTATTCCGAATCAATCGTTCAACACAAGTTCATATCGACACACAAAATATATCATATATTTTTTTTTGTTTTCAAAATGAAGGTGAGAGTGAAAATAAGCTGAGTACATTTGAAATTTTGTACAGTTCACAAAATAGTTTTAAAATAAATAAAAATTTATCATAAGAAAATAATTGATACTGTGCATAAATTAATTAGTGATTCTTTATTTGATATTGCAGTGTACTATCGTAATTTTTTTGGCATTTTTTGTGTCAATAAATGCTTATCCAAGTGCTGTCATTGAAGTTGCCAAGGTAGCATCACCAGTTGGGTCCCACGGACCTGCGTTGATAAATCTTCATTGGCCAAACGCATGGCCAGTCTCGTATTGGAATGGTGGAAAAGGACAGAGCAATTGGGGTGGTAGTGCAGGTAAAAATGTGTAAATGAATCGTTAAAAATCGTTCTGCAATGAACGTTGTTTCAGCGCATATGTGAACAATATGACATTTAAGAAAAATATCATGAAACGTGAACAGATCTCTAACAACATAACATAACGTGAACATTTTGAAGACCGACTCCTACATGCCATTATTATTTTTTTCATTGCAGGTTATGGCGGCGCTTCAAGTGGAGAAGGATGGGGAAGTGGAGCTGGACAATCAAATGGAGAAAGTGTTGGATATTCGGGTGATGCTGGTGTACATGATGGGTAACGATTATATCACATTTAACATATTGTATTGTAGTTTTAATAAATTGCTTATATGTGATTTTTTTTCCTATTTATAGAAAATACGTAGCAATCAATCGCGGTGCAATACATGTAGCGCCTCTCGGTAAATACAATAATAATAAAATAATTAACTAACAAAATATAATTTAAACAATATTTTTTAGTCGGTCATATTCAATCAGTGAAATCACAAAACTACCAGCCAGCGCCCGGAACCATTTGGTGAACATTTTAACCAACATGTTTAGAGTTAATCAAATAAATTTGTTTTGTTAAATATAACATTGTTTGCCAATTCAGGACTTTTCACTCTTTTAATACGCTCTTAAACGATGACTGAGATCTGTAAATGAAAACATTTTGTGCTAAGTTAGTCAGAATGTTATGTATTTCGTGATATAAAATAAAAAAATATGCTCGAACTTGAAAATCAATCGTTTGTTTCATTTTGAATTCTTAATGTATGAATTAGTTTGACTTATGGTCTGTGATCTGCATTCCCCACAATAACAGTGCAGGTTTGCAATGGATTGGTAGCTTCGATTATATATGAAACTTCAATTGAAAACATGGACTTACAATAATCATTGACTAAGTCCAACTTTTCGAAAATAGGTTTTAAGATAATGAGAGAAATTTACTTTTACTTTTATTCTCTGTGAAAATTGCCAACCTCTGTTTGTTTTCTTCCTGTTAGCATGCTTCAGTTTACGCACGTACAACTTTCGATTACGAACTGTAATACTCATAGAACAAATTGTGTAATCGATTATTTCTCAATTAAATCAGTCTATTGTAATACAGTGGTGCAGGCATAAGTATTGTAAAAATGCAACGAGTGATGATTTCAAAGTATATTTTTTTATAAATGAATGCGTTGCAAACTTATTTCTGTTTTTTTTTATTACTTAATCGATGTTCAACCAATGACCTATTACAGTTTACTTAATCAAAAGCATGGTATGAATACATAAATATAACATGCGATTCACTCGATGCAAAACTTTCTTTTTAGTATTTTTTAAACTAGCACAATTTTTACAGTTGAGTGCATATGTAGTAAATACATGAAAATCTCCAGATAGAAATTGAAAAAATCTATCTGAAGTTTTGTCTTTGAAGAAAAAGCGGGAAATATGTGGTTTCAAGATTATCTTGACAAGATAATCCAAAAAACTTTGTAGTTTTGAAAACAATCGATTATATCACGTGTGAAAAATGATTGACTGACTGCTGAGTTAGCTAATTTGGAACGTTATTTACTATGGCCAACTGAGATTGAAGTTATTTAAACTTGATTTCTTGACAATTCGGTCGAATTCATTACAGAAAAATATAATTCAAATCAACTTCAGTTACAATCTATTATTGGATTATTGGATTAAACGGGGAGTTATTCACTTCGATGCTCAAGTTACGTAACTTATTGCATGACGACCCGACTTGTGCTGTCACTCGATTGCTTGGAGAATGCTTCCCACGGTGTGGCCCACTTTATAGCAGCCATGTAACTAGCCTCCGTACAGGGCCAGTGACCAGGGCTTTCAGTTCAGTTACAATCTATAGTCGTCTGTTTAAAATCAGATAAATGATAGCTGGGTAAATGGCTACAGTCAACGAAATTCAGTTTCAATTGATTTCAGCTAGACCAGTTCACTTCTTCTCCTCACGGTATTGTGACAAAATATTGGAATTTGATCGATAATAACTCCAAATGATAGGATATTGATCCGTGAATAATAGTAGCATACTGGAAACTGTAAATAGTATATGGTTTCAATTAATGGGAAAATAAAAATTGTAAGTCAATTATAGGCAAGTTTTTCTGTATCGTAAAGTCGTTAAACAAAAATTGAAATGACAAAATGTTGTTTTTCTCTAATAATTCAATATTTATTTGGTTTGAAACAGCTTGTGTAACATTTATAAAATATGAGTATTTGACAGGTTTGGTGTGAGTTGAGAAAGAGGTTGTTTTAACAGTGTTAAACACATTTGCTCGACAAGATATTGATTGAAGAGATAGTGAGATTTCTTCTAATAATAGAATAAATAAATTGGAAAGTGAAGACGAGATAGATAGTGTTTTTTTCACATTGAAATGGCGAATAAATAAGATAATTTAAAATATTGTCTGATTTTAAGTTTGATATTCAAGCGTTCTAACGGTAGGTGTTGTTATTGTTGGTTGATGATGATGTTTTCGTGGTAAGAAATAAGTGTGTATATTATAAATCCGTAGGATGATGACCTGATTGAAGGAAGTTTACCATGTGGTTCCTATATATAGAAATTATCATTAAAAAGGGAAAAAAATATATTTAAATTAGCTTGAATGAATGCGGAATGAATATGGTGTTTTGAATTGGGTGTTTTACCAGGAGCTGGCTGTTCGTTTGTGGATTTCACTGATTGAATGTGCCCCACTAATGGTGCGACATGAACAGCACCACGATTTGATGCAACATATTTGCTGTAAAGTATAAATTATACATGCTTTGAGTGCCATTCGTTTATTATGATCATTAAGTATCTATTACCCATTATGGTAGTCAGCTCCTGCACCTACTCCGGCACCGTGACCGCCAGCATATCCACCAGCGCCGATTCCAGCGCCATATCCGCCGCCGTATCCGCCATCATATCCTCCATAGCCTAAAAACGAATACAAAACAAGTCGGTTTTTTTTATTTGTAATTTAGTTTCCAACATTTGTTAATTATTACCAAGATTTCCAGTGGTGTGGAGCGTGATTTTTGGGCCACCTTTTGGATAACCGACGGAGTAGCTGAGGACAACAATTGTAAATTTATTGATTAATTATTCACTGAAATATCCACTAAACACAATGGAATACCCTGAATAAGCATCGCCTCCATAGCCCCATCCACCGTAATTTGATCCGCCAGCGTTAACTAAAGCCGGACCATGTGAACCCACTGGACTATGTGGACTTGCAATGTCTACGACAACATTTGCATTTGCGAACAAAGCGAATGCCAAAACGATTGCAGCAATTGTGAACTGAAACATATTTATTGAATCCAAGATTAGAACTGATAATTTTCAATTTTATTCTCACTGTAAACTTTTGCACTTATATAGAACACGACTGACTCGTATTATCTATTACCTTCATTTTAAATTGGCTCGAAAGAGTTTTAAATATCTATTTAGCTTGTGTTTAAAGGGCTAACTTCATCGATTGGTAGTCGATTGAATTCTGATTTGAAAACTAAAAAATCACCGATATTTATACTTCTGAACATAAATGGCCATTCAATGGAATGACTGTATGATTTATGTACGGCAATCAAATAGACAGTAATTATGCTTAAAATTTTTGAAATCGAATGATTTCGTTATAGTTTTTAATTTCGCTTGTGGAATTTGCACTGCCGATGTCGATCGCTAATTATTACATTATTAGTAATATTTTTTATTGTTGTTTGTTCTGATTGTAACATGTTTATGCGCTCATTTTAATCAATCGCTCAAATTTCGAATGGAAGTTGGTAATTAGCAATTAGCAAATGAAGTAGTTATGTGTACGGTTCTGTCTTTAGAGTATATTTATAATTTTTTAAATTGATTGCCAATATTTTATGTGAAATGAATGCGAAAAAAGTCGACGTGAATCGGCCACAAACAGCGGTATGCTTGACTATGTTGCTTTAACTTTCCTTTGTTCACATGTTTCATTGAATTATTAAGTTGTATCGAAAATGGATAAAAATTTGGCATTTAATACTCATAAATATACTCGTCAATACAACACAATCTAAACTAACCCAAAAATACTACATTCTTCAGAATTCCTAAACAGGTGCTAAATAAGCACAGTGTTTGAGTTTTATATGCATCACAGAACTAAAAACAACATACCCATTTTTCATATAATTTTTTACAATATGTCGAAAAAGTGTTTTAGCATTACGAGTACTTTGAAGTGCGGATAAGTGTTTTTATTCGTGGCTGATTTTATTAATAAAGTGGTTACCGTCGGCGATATAATTGTTTTGAAGAGACCATTTTGCAAATTATAACAATTACCTCCTTAGTTCGATACAATGCATTGGTAGAAACGTAATTATTCAAATTAATATTCAAATTATTATGCATTTATTCAGTTTATACTTATCGCAAGAAGTGAAAGGTTTCTTAACGTTTTGTTGCGTGTGTGACAAATGAGTCCTTCCAAAACAAATACAAGCTCTTACATCAACCTTGAAATATACATCAAGTGCAATAATATTGATAATTTGAGGGATACTTATCATCAATTCGAATAATTCTTGTAAATTCTTGTAAATAATTCCAAATATTTCAGAAAAACACACATGAGGTAAGATAATTCAAGTTTAAATTGTTTATTTTCCTTCTATTTTTACAAATTTATTTTCCTTTTCTTTCTATTATAAAACCGTACTGCTTCGTGTAACATTCACATCTATTATTACTTGTTCTTTTTATTATTTTTCTCATACTTTTCTTGAGTAAAACTAATTGAGATATCAGAAGTATTATTGAAAATTATGGTACTCTTGATTAGATTGAAATAAATAGGTAGATGATGGTGGGTTGAAGCAAAAAAAAAAAAAGAAATATAGTGTGAGATGATGGATTGTCCGTGTTTAAGCAGAAATTGCATTGAGAAATGTCATCTATAGAGTGAACCTTAATATGTGGTACCAGGTGCGGGTTGAAGATTAGAGGAAGAAACAGACTGAGTGTGACCAACTGAAAATGATACATTTAATTATATTTTTATTATTTAATTATCATTTTGATAACATCAAATTGATATCATAATATTTACCAAGGGGCGCTACATGTACGCTTCCACGATTTGCAGCAACATATTTTCTGGGAAAATGTGATTGAAACAAATGTGATCAAGGTTAAAATAAGAATAAAAATACAGTAGAATATGATTTTCGGCACTAACCCGTCGTGTGCACTTGCTAATGGATTAACTTGATATGCTGTTGTTGGTCCCCAAGCTGCGGAATGGCCCCATGGACCGCTTGTTGTCAACGTTGGACCTGGGCCAAAGTAAGGATAGCCATGATAGGCAGGGGCGGCTGGTAGTCCCAAGTATGGGAGAGCAGCTGGCAAGCCATAAGAGCCATAATGGTTCCATGGTCCAGCAGAAATATCAATGACTGCTGGTGGCAAAAATCCTGCATCACTATACACAGCTAATGCCAATATGACTACAGAAATAATGAACTGTAAAATCAAAAACACCAAAAACTTTGAGTATATCGTAATGTGATAAATGCTTAATTTAACTTTTCTATTATTTACACCGATCACTTTTTTTATTATTCTAACATCACTTCGCACGTAGTCTACTAACGAATCAAAATAGAAAAAATCGTTGTACATGAAATGAAAACAATAAAATTACCTTCATATTGGAATGTACTTGGTATCGATTGTTGTTTATCGAATTAATTCCTATTTGAGACTATATCTCAGAACATTTTCACCACAGCTTTTATACAATTTGGTTTTCTTTGAATCAAATCTTTCAAAGAAAAAAGAGTGGTAAAATCATAACATTGATTTAACGCAGATCGCGTTTATGCATTTTGTCTAATTTTTTTCTTCTTATTCTTCTTTTTCTGCATTTTGACAGTCTTTTTGCTCTAATTTGGTTTATGGCAACATGCATTAATTTGCAGACCCATTGCTCCAAGTGTTGTTTGATCGTTACGTTTGGACATACCGTACTTTTACTGAAATCAATACCACATTTAGCGTGTAATTCATACATGTTTGATAATTGCTGCGCGGGGGTATAGAAGGCAAGAATTTGAAAGTTTTTGTTTGAAAAATACAGTAAAAAAGCGTTGCGCAAATTTTGCGCATATACCACATGTGCAAAGAATCGACTTTGTTGTTATCTGCGGATCCGTTTGCATAAAAGAACTTCTGGGTAAATTTGACACAAACTGCCATAACTAAGCAAGTCAATCTTGTATGTACGTATGTATTTTAGGGTATAATTGATCCAATTTCAAAAGTAATTATATGCTTTGATTTTATTGATTTTATTGAACAATTACAGCAATTTTCAATGTGCCATATGTTCTGCTGGACACTATTTGATTTCAATCAGAATTTCTCGTTTCTTTAACCTATAGTTTGACTTTTGTGTTTACTTTGATTCGAAAGCAATTGGTGAAATGGTTTACGTTAAGTCTATTGTCAGCCTATTGTTTTTTTTTGCTATCGGATTATTTTTGGGCCAATGCTTTTCAAATTGAAAAGAACGAAATGTGATAATATTTGAATGAAATAAAAAAAAACATGTAAAAAAAAACCATATATATAACATGCTCAATAGGCAACAATAAAATACCTTTGTTAACAATAAATTTGACATTGACTTCTGGTTCTTGCATTCCATATAATCAGACATGCAGCAAAACATATGCCACATAAAAACGATAAGCTGCCATAACATAAATGGAATTCCAATCTACCGTTACATTTAACGTGTATAGGCTCAATGTAATTAAAGCACAGCTCACAGTGATATTTATTAATATAACATATATATTTTGATTCACTTTTGTGCACACAACCATCTGATTCATTGTACATTTCATTTTCTGAATGCATTGAACTGTAAGTATTACGATAGTTGTTGTGTTTGCATTTCAAAGTTTTATTCTATAGCTCAAATATATTTATGAAAATAATGCTTTTCATTTATATACTTAAAAGGCAAGCAGCCAACAAATGGTATACGCCATTTCATAAAATAAAACATCAAATTGTTAATACAGGAATTAAATTGTCGTAATGTGCTGGGCTTACGATATTGACACTTCAACAAAGTTTCAGATAAAATCACGTGTTTCAGCATTAATACTGGTTAGTAGACTACTAATAGTAGTACAATGCAGAAAGTGCCAAAGGTAATATAGGAATTGAACATAACAGAAATTTCTTGTTGCGATATCGCCTCGCAGATAAGTTTTCTTTTTATAGTGCATACAATAACAAGACATTTACAAAATTCACACAGCTGAGTCAACATGATGAATTAATGTTGTTGAATGAGTCGCTGACAACTTGCAGAATAAAATCCATTAAGAAAGGTTAAACAGGGGTAGCCGACCAACAATAAGAGTAACAACAATAATAAAGCTCTGTAGATGCTCATGCATGTAAATGCAGCCAGTGTGTAGTGCATTATGACAAATACGTTTCAGGTGTTTCATCAGAATAAAATGCACTTAATACGCACGCAGAAGTTATCTTACGTGCCTAGCTAAATTGTATGAAAAATGACAAACGCGCAACATGCTGAAAATGTACATTTGACTATGGACTTGCTGTGCACTGGTATTCAACCTTGTGAATATCAATTTTCAGCCACGAGAAATGACAGACAAAGCAGTATGAGAAATTGCACAAGAATTGTTTTCCTTCGCATTAAACTTGAAAAATGATTTATTTTTTTTATATCTACGAAAAAATTCTTGATGAAAACGAAAACGTGCATAACATGCGAACACAGAAGAAATAATGAAATGAATGCACTTAGAGAGAAATCAACTTTTAAATTCTAGAAGAAAATATCTTTGTAGTACTCAATATGCGTGGGGTGGATAAGCAAATTTCTTTTACAAAACGAAAAAAATATGTGTAATTTGTATATATGACCTCATCATCAAAGAACGACTACCATTTATTTTTGATGACGGAAAAAATACAATTCATTCTTTTGAATGACATTAAAATAGCTTGCACTCATTTTAAAGTAAAAGTGAGTAAGATATTCAAATCTATGCTATTCACTCAAATGACGACAGTTTTAATGTGGTCAGTTATGTGATATTCACTTTTTATATTGTATGTACAGAAAGTAAGACAACACATATAAGGAAGTTCACCAATTTAATTCAACCTACATGTAATTAACTCGATAGTGCAAAATATCATACCATAAATATATTTTTCGACGAGAGTAATGACCTGAATGAAAAACCAATTCTCCACGAAATCAATCCTGATTTCGATTTCAATTTCATTGAGTTCAAATTACTAAGTTCCGTGTCTATGGAATGCATTGTTCTTGCACATAACTCATGCGATAATATTATGTATATTATCTAGAATAGCAATGTTATATATATTATTCGATATCATATACTATTTGCATACTTATTGAAATCATATATGTGACACGTAATGTAATAGTTGTAAAAATGCATGAAACAGGTATTGTAACGAAATTGAAAGATATGACGAGAAGAAACTGGAATAGAATTCCAATTGATTATAGTGACAATTAATAACGTTGGCAGTGACGTGAAACAATGACCAACCGAGAAGGAGAGTGGTTAGTCAATTTGTGTAATTGTATAAAATCATAATCCGTATTATATGCGCTAAATAATGCGAGCCACGCCTGATACAAAAAAAATCACATATGAATGAAGTAAAAAAAGTTGATATCTATCTTTCTTTGTTTTGCATCCGATACCGTTGATTTTGTCTCTGAGAATTCCTGTTCTCCCCTTTTCGGTGTATTCGTGCTGTCATTTGACACTTTTGCTCCTTTACATTTTTGTATAAATAGCCCAGTTGTGTAGATATCAGATCAGAATTCACTTGACTCTCAAAGTGTAGCTATATCTAAAACTCAATATCCAATATGAAGGTAAGAGACATTTATTTCACAAATAGTTTTGATTTTATTGACAATTTTTTTTTTGCAGTTCATCATCGCTGTAGTCATGTTGGCTTTGGCCGCCATCAACACCAATGCAAGCCTATTGCCTTTGCCTTTGGCTTATTCAGGCTATCCATTGGCTTCAAGCTATCAATTAGCTTATGCACCTCGCATTTCACTATCTCAGGGATATGCCGGACTCAGCTATGCTGCACCAGTTCCAGTTGCATATAGCGCCCAAGCTTTATCACTACCAGCATCCGTTGCTGTTTCTCCAGTCGCCCCAGTACCAGTTGCTGTCGCCTCACCACACGTACCATCTGCGTGAGTATTTTTTCGCAATTTTTGCATGAAAGCATAAGGATAATGATAATCGTGGACTCATGACTATCCACTATGTTCATTTATTCTATATTATAGAAGCTATGTTGCTACCACACGTGGTGCCCAACACGTAGCACCATTGGTGGGACACGTGCAATCAGTTTCATCTCAAAATGTGGAACCTGCACCTGGAACCTATTAAGCACAACTGCTGAATTCTTCCCCGAATATTTTACTGTTCTCACCACTGGAAAAACAACAATATCAACACCAAACAGTGCACTGAAGTAAAATAAAAAAAACTAAACTCCGTTCTTGTTATAACTGCCCAAAAAATAGTTTACTTCTTTTTGTAAATTGAATACTCAATAATGAAAAAAAGCACACAAATATACAAATAAATTGTCTTGAATGGATAATTTTAAGAAATGAAAAAAAAAAGTGTTTATGCATTGCAATATATTTCAGAATTTTTTATCATTTCTTCCCAAGGCTTGCAATCGTATTCATCGACAGGTCCCCAATCATTTGGAGTAAGTGAGATTCGTATCCGCTGAAATAAAGTAATAAAGTATATGAAAAGAAATTGCAATTGCGTAAGTATACTTCTAACTTTTTCAATGAGGCGCTCATCTTATTTAACTTGAACAAAAAACATATGGGTATACAAATAACATCAGGCAGCTTGCCCATCCAATGACAATCAAGGTTTTTGGATATACCATTCCATTGTATGTGATTTCAGTGTTGAATAAAATTGTGGTTACAAATATAAACTGAATATATGATAAAATTGGTATAAATATTAATTGAATATAACGATAGGATAGTATGGTTTTTATTCAGCACTTATGGCTGAATAAAAATATATACTCTCATATCGTTATTTTCAATAGATAAAATGAATGCATAGTGAGAATTCATACGCGTAGAATAGTTGGTGTAATATATTTCCAACAAATCAGCCACCACCGTCCCACTGAGTTTTTTCCAATCATAAATTCAATATCTCGGACAAAATTTTCGGCTCCATAAATCCAGCCACAAATTAGTGTTTCGCACAGACAAATCAAAATGACCAATAAAATAATTGCAGCATATACATTCCACCTCGTGTAATAAATAGAGATGAAAGAACTAGCATCGCAAAGCATGATAGGAATGCTACAAGCATTTTATATGGTCTTAATTGTGTATACTCGTCAAGAAAAGATGAAATCATTGTCTCTATTTGTACAAACTAGACGAGTTTTTTTTTTAATTATTTCATTAATGGTAATTCAAAAAAAAAAATTCTACAACTTACGACACTGTCAAGTACAAGGAAAATCATGAAAAAGAGAATACTCTAAAACTGTGGAAACGGAAGCATGCCAATACACTCGGGATATGTCACGAAAGCTAAACTACATAATTGAACTTGTGTGTTAATTTACATTCTTTGATGAGGTAGATCGAAAGAAAGATGGCTTTGATAGTTACGTTGGTCCAGCGGTGGCAACTGTTTCAATACTGAAATTTTCATGTTTGAGACTTATTCGAGACAGTACTGAATTTGGTTGTGTACCGAACTAATTTTATTAGATTTTTAAAACAAAGGAAATTTCATTTGCATTTGAATTAAATTATTTTTTTTTTGTCTACAATTTATTTATTGGTCATGAAATGCTATCCAAACAAATGTAAAATGAATTTCAGTAAAGAAATTTTAATGTCACAATAAAATATATGAATTGCTTAAATGTAAATGACGATGTATCTGTTCTTGACGATGTAAATGTTTTATTTTTAATATGAGATTTTATTGTGCAAAGATCTAAACTTTGCTATAAACAATATATTAAAATATACAGCGTTATGTTTCCTTGGTGCTTGGCTTCTTTCGCTTGGACATTAACGAGAGTATAGTTTGACGCATGTCTTCTGTATCTTTTAACTCATCTTCAAGCGATTGTAGTTTTTGTTCCTAATAAAAAAAATAAATAAATGATGGTAATGGATCCGTAAAATAATGCTTTCAAATATTTGTATATACCATTTCCTTGTTCTTTCTAGACGCTACTGTTTTTTCTTGTGCAAGTTTTCGTATAGCCTCTTCATTTTCGCCCAAAGATGATTTCAATTGTGATCGTAATGAATTCACTACTGTTTTCAGCTTTTCATTATCAGTTAGGAGCCTATAAAATTAATGTGAAGTAAATTTGGCCAAAAAAAAAACTTTAAAGTGAAGACTTACATTTCATTCGATTTTTGAAGATTTTGAGCAAGTTCCGACCATTTCATTGATGTTATCTCTAACTGTAGATTATATCCCTTTACCAAATTTACCTATATGGCGATAGTATTTAATTGGTTTTAATTATTATATAATATATATACCGGGAACATTTTGTGTGCTTTTTTTGTTTTTATCGGGGTGTACACGTACCTCATTTGAAACATCTTCATATTTTTGTGTCAATATTTTAATTTGTTGTTTCAGCATTGCAATTTCGTTTGTATACAATTCTATAAAGTCAGATGATGGTACTTCAATCTGTAAAAACAATTGCACATGTATATTAGTATTTATAGAAAGTTGCATGTAAATAAAAAAACAATAAACCTTTTCACTCAAACACGCTTTTTCAATATTGAAGAACACGTTCTTTATTCTTTCACTACCAAGTTCATTGCTGAAGTCCATCCCAACTCCAGCAGAGTGTTTATTATTTTGTAAAAATATATGTGGATCATTTGTTCTTCCGTCACTAACTTTAGCCGAAATGATCTGAAAGTGAGATCAAATTATAAGTTAATAATTATTGAAAATTGGTAATAACACAAAGATATTTTCACCTCAGAAATTTCGCGTTTCGAAAAACGTTCCATCAAAGATAATGCCAGACAGCATTGATCTAGAAGAAGATTTTTTTTATAGATCACCGTTGGTAGTAAAATTGAATTATTTATGAAACTTTAATGAATACATTACCACTATTTCCATGTTTGATAGCCATCGCAACTAAAAATTGAATATTTTTGACTTGGAATACATGTGGCTTTGAAGAATCGAGAAGATTATTTTCCAACAAAACGGATAATGTTGACAAACACTCTAAATACATGGTTATTTCACCAATGGGCAATTTGAAATAGTTTGAACTTTCTAATCTGAGCAATGGAGCAAAAATAGAGTCTACAGTTTTGCTTGTCAACAAATTTACTTTGAAGTTTCGTGCCAAAACGTTGAGTAGTTTAAACAATGGTGCCATCTATAATTCAATTAATTGTTGTATTGTTATTCATTTCATTACTAAACGATATTATCAATGATTTCAAATAACTACTTACAATTGTGGGATGTCGCTCATTGCTATAAAGTATTGCGTTTAGAGTCTCTTGCATTTCCTCCATTTCAAAGTTGCTTGTACTGATTTTCGGATCTAAAATTATCCCATTATATTTTATATTATTTTATGCCTTAATTGGCAGAAGACGTTATTTCAAATATTTGTTGGTTACCATTATTGAAAATCGTTGCCAATGTTTCCAATGCTTGAACACGGTACTCTGGGGATTGGATTCGTTTTATGCCAAAACTTATCATAGAAATGACCAAATTTTTCAGTGAATCATCTAAGCATCAATTAAAAAATCGTAAATTTTCTTAATATAATCCAAAAAAAAAATTAGATTAACTTACTTTTGGAAGTTGTCACAATTTTGATAATTTCAAATAATGAATTAATATGAATAGTGTGGTTGTTATCGGTATTATTTTCTAAAATCTGAAAATTAAATTTTAGTTTGGTCACAAAATGTTTGTAAATATATTTTCATTTAAAAAGTACCATTATTGCAGCCTGTATTCCAGAACAGAAATCGTATCCTTGGAGCACTTGTTTTGTACTAGCTCTCTGTGAAATGTCCCGAATGAATTCAATTAAATGCTTCAATGATTGTTCGTCCAAAGATCTAAAATATACGGGTTTAGTCTGGAAACAACGATAATAAAGTATAATAGACGTAAGTTGAAACTTACGGAATCCGATGTAGTTCTTTCGTTGTGAATTTTAGGAAGTTGCGCACATCCGAATCGCGAAGAATATTTCCACATTCATTCAAAATTAGGTTCATTTTGCACGTCTACAATGTAATGATTTATGTAGTAATAGTTATTTTAATAAAAAGTTAAGAAAAAAATAAACAACGCCATACCAGTATGCCATACGTTTCAAGTGGAATTCTTTTCTGTAAATCGATCAAATTGATTTGCTGCTCCAATATACCAACCGATATGGAACTCTTACTGCACAAGTTTATTAAGACTGACAATGACACATTCCGCAACTTATCATCATACTGTTTGATTTGAAAAAAAAAAACAATCATTAATTGACACTTTTATCAAGTAACAGACACTGTACTCACTTCAATTGTTTCATCACAAAGCAATTTAACGCAGAAACGAATGAGACGCTCAATGAACGGTTGACATGTTTTGATTACGATTCCAAATGAAACATCCTGAATTAATTTGAGTATATAGTCGATTCGAGAAGATGATCTCAAGAGAACATCAGTCAATACTGGTAGAATGGGCAACATTTTCAAAATATCTTGATCATCTTTCAATGAGAGTATTATTTTTTCCATCAATTCCACCGATTTTCCAAAAGGTCCTATGAATAGTGTTAAAAATTCAAACCGATTGAACTATGTTAATGTTTTTATAGACATAAAACAGCCAATATTGTTCTTAAAATGTACCTGACTTTGGATCACATTTGCTTATAATCTGATGCAAGTTGCTTAGCATAAGTGGGAGATCTTGAACCTCATCAACAAAATCTTCGGTTTGACTATTGTTAATCGTATCCTTTAAATATTTGTTGAAACAATAGAAAAATTATCAAAATACAAACTTAAAATTTATATTGTATAAAAAATGAAGTTAAGTCACCTTGAGTAGACAATGTAAATGTGCTTCATCTTCTGTACTGTAGAACGTATTGCTATTAGAAATGAAGCTATAACGATGATTGAATATTTTCAGTGACATCTTTAACTATGTAATACTACTCCTCAAGTTGATGTTTTTTTTTTCACGACTTGGTGATTTCAATCATAAATTTTTGAACAATAAGTATCAGCAGCACAATTAACTTGATATCAAGCGTCCATCTGTCACTTATAAACGGTTGCTTTGCGCCCATTCAAACGTCGAAACACGCATTCATATACATTATTGTGCATACGTCGAGTCGGGCTTAGCACGACGGGAACGCTGTCGAAAATAATGAAAACAAACCGACTTTCGGGCTCACTATAATTTACGCACTTACGCTATATATGTGACAGTTTACTCATTCATTTGAATTTGTTCAAATGGCAGCCAAAATACTACAATTACCCGATTATTGTCACATTTTCAGGGATTTTCTGGTAGAAGAACTCATTTTTTATAAATCACCATTTGAATTCCACTATGGAAAGTGTTCTGTGATTGGAAAATTGCACTGGCAAGACAATTTATACTTACAAAATATTTCATTGAAATGTTTGGACGAGAAGTATCGCCTAAAAACCAGTTCAGTTGGAATTCGTTTGCTAGAAACGGGCTATCGTGCCAATCCAGACGATGTTTCATCATTTGGAAGTAAGTTAGTAAACGGAGCATTTTACGAAGTTCATGGTGAAACAGCTTTTTTAAATATACATGCACTAAATTCAGCGCCAGTTACAGTTGCCGAAATGATGATAAACGAACGAATGAAGCACCTAACATTTGACGAAGGTGCTATCAGTGTTAATGACAAAGAAATTCCCTACAACTCTTGTCAACTAAATGAAGATGCTATACGACAAGATATTGAACAATTTGCCTCTATGTATGTTCCAGTCCTGCAAGTACACACAATAAATGCAATCGATCAAGCCGAAGAATTAATTCAATGTAATCTACAATTAAGATTATTGCGTAAAAACCGAAAATCGAAAAACTATCTACGTTGTAACTAGTTTTAAATCATACCAAAAACAAAAATGTATTAATGCTCAAATGGTGTAAAACAATAAATATTGAAATAAAATGTTACCTTGTAAATTTAAATATTCAACTCGATTTTTGGTCGAAATGTCAAATGTATCTTTGATGTGACACTCGAATGTCAGATAGACAGTCGCACGTGTAGATAGATTACTTCAATAAATACAAAATTTTGTAAACATAAATTTTCCCGGTTAGCATTCTTGAAGAAAAGGATATAAATAATAAATAAGCAAGTGGGAAGGGAAAAAACGTCAATATGAATCTTTTACCCAAAACACGCGAAGATTTTACACAAACCGAATATTGGAATTCGTTTTTCCAAAAACGTGGAAAGAAAACTTTTGAATGGTAATTGTGCAAACATTCACACTGATAAGTGTTTCTGTTGAACCCTTTTATTATTTTAAAGGTACGGCGAATATCCCGAATTATGTCATCATTTGCATAAATATATTAAATCGCAAGAGGAAATTCTAAATGTCGGCTGTGGTAATTCAAAATTATGTATGGATTTATACGATGTTGGTTACAAGTAGGTTTTTCTTATTTTTATTCATTTCATTTGTATCCGGTACATATGAATTAAAAAAATAAAAAATAATATTACTAGGAATATTACGAATATTGACACATCACCTCTGGTAGTCAATCAGATGTTGACACGAAATAAAGTCATACGCCCCGATTTGAAATTCATGCAAATAGATGCATGTGATATGAAACAATTTGAAAATGGAAAATTTTCTGCAGTTCTGGACAAGGCAACGCTTGATGCGATTTATGTGGATGAAACTGATGCCGTTCTAAAATATGTTCAGACTTACTGGTCAGAAATCGATCGCGTGTTGCGCGTCGGTGGGAGATATATTGTGGTCTCGTTGCTGCAAAAGCATATTTTGGAAGGTCTTCTTAAACGATTTGCCGTGAACAATTGGATGTTTCGTGTTGTACGCTGTATTGAAGCTGAAGAAAAAACTGCCGAAGACGGTGACAGATCACTTCCTGTCTTTATGGTTATCGTTACAAAGTTTCAAAGATTGCCGTCGCAAATTCTGGAAGTATGTATGGCCGGCGATAAAATGATTCGAATGAACAGTTTAGAAGAGATACAGGAAGAAGTTTTCTCAGTTCAAAAGTCGGCACTGGTTTGTAGTGGACTGACCCGTAGTAATATTGCGGGTAATAGAGAGATTGTTTATTTTATATAATCATAGTTTAATTAAAATTTGTGGTACCTTTGTATAGATATGAAGGAGGTTTCTATTGACTTGTATGAGCCCGCCAACAATAAGATTCCACGATATACAATTCACATATTGGATCAAAAACCAAATCGTGAAAACGGAAGATATGCTGCATTTATTGTTCCACAAGGCCGAGAAACTGAATGGCTTTTTTCAACGGAACCCGGTAGAAAGAAACTTCTTCAATCTGCAAAACATGATCGATTAGCCATCGTTTCAATGCATCGTGGCCACATTTATAAATCATGGGATGACGTGAAAGTAGAGTTAAGCGGCAATATTCGTAATTTTTCTCCAAACGGCTTGAAAAATAAACAGGTATATCATTTTTTAATTTATGACAAAAAACCTTGAATCTTATCGTTCATTTCTTCTTTTTAAATAACAGATTCCATTTTTGTCACTTGGTAGTGATGTTGGCTTACGTGAAACAATTTTTCAAGGAAAGAGTGATTTATCTGGCGATTTTGTAGTAGAAGAAATTAAAGGTGACAATAAAACATTTCGTCGTCTAATTTTCCTCAGCAATCAATTTGTTATTCAATCGGAAGCCCTAGTCAAAATTGGTAAATTAAATAGGCAAATGAATGAAATGTGGTTTTTGTCACTAACTCTAAGCGCTTAACTTTTAGTGAAAGGTAAAAATAAAAAAGTCGAGAAACAGTTGGTGCCGACGTTCTTATGCTGTCAACATCATTTGGTTTGTAGTGGACTGAGCCGTAGTAATATTATGGGTAATAGAGTGATTGTTTATTTTATTTCATCCACATATAGTACATGTCTTTGGGATTGCACTTTATCAAATCAATGAATGGAACCAAATCGAAGAAAAATACCAACTGTGCAATCATTGGCCTTGGTGGTGGTGGACTTTGTACGTTCATTCATAGAATTTTAAAGTGAGTTTAAAATTTACGAAAAAAACGGTAATTTTGTTTAGCACGCCCTAACATGTTGACATTTCATTCATTCATTGCAGAGATACGAATATTATTGCTGTAGACATCGATCCATCAATGTTGAAAATAGCAACTGATTATTTTGGCTTAGTTGAAGATTCTCGTTTGAAAGTGGTCATCGATGATGGTATAAAATTTTTGAAGAAGGCGTTGAAAAATGGTTTGATTTACTAATTATCACTGTAGTGTAGTTTTAAAATTATGCGAATTTTATGTTGGAATTTTTTTTTTTTTTTTGATTCTTGTTTGCAGGTCAATCTTTTAAAGCCATTCTGTTTGATGTTGATAGCAAAGATCCCACAGTTGGTATGAGTTGTCCGCCGACTCAATTTTTAGAACAGGAAGTCTTGGATGCCGTCAAATCATTAATTCGGGATACTGGTAAATGTTATTTTTTTTTTTTTGTTGCTTGAATTGATTGCAATTTTTTCCTCTGGTAATTAGGAATATTTATTTTAAATCTGGTGTGTCGTGATGAGAAATTGCGTGAAAAAGTGCTGGTAGATCTTAGAAGTACGTTCAGTTCTGTTGTATCGTACAAGCTTGTCGAGGACGTAAACGAAATTCTATATTGCCAGAACGTTGCATATGATGGAAAGAAATGGAATGATGCTATGGAAAAATCAGCAAAGCATATTAATGAACTCCTTCAAAAGGAACAAAATTATTCTGAAATAATCGAAGTACAAGAGTTCTTAGATCAAATCAAAATATAAACTCAATTTTTTTCTTCTATAATTTTAATAAAAACATTTTTACATTGCTTAGGACCTATATCAATAAATTAAGTGTTTTTATAATTATAATAGCTTTCATTTTTGGAACAATAATTTTATCGAATGTTTACGTCTTTATAACTGGTCGGAGGTATTCCGACTCGTTTAAAAGGTGTTTTCTTATCATTCCGGCTATACCAATTTGAGCGGATAATATTTGTTAAAGATCTAACTTTTTTTTAAAAACAAAAGAAAATATTTTGCTCACAATTTTTTTTACGTTACTAAGTTAACACTTCTAATGCAGTCTCTAAATAGTAGATAAATGGGTACATTCCTAGGGGCAATTCACTTAAAAATTGCCTAGAATATTTTTTTCAAAATTCGTTTAAAACTACCCGATGTGATCTTGCGATCATCAATTGTTGAGCTGACTGATGATTGTGATGGATCATTCCTCGTGCTCTTTTGGTTTTCTATATTCTTGCTACTGATTTTTACTGCTGTTGGATTATTGTTGTTGTTATTAATTCCATTTTGTTTTAGCGATGGCGGACTCTCCGATTTCGATTTTTTACTTATTTGACTAGAGTTATGCGATTTCTTTGAACGATGCCATTCCCATCCTGTAGACTGAGCAGTTGGCCCGCTTGAAAATGGAGATTTGAAAAATGATGGTGACGATAGTCTTCTTCGGTTGTATCTAATCGATTTTGATTTTTTTGGATGCGATGTAACGCTATCAACGGATGAATCGATTGTTGTCTCACTCATGCAATCATCAGCCTGTGAATCTGATCTGTTCTTTTTCAATTCGGGTGCAGGCCCATAGAACTCATATTCTTCTTCTGGTTTATCGTACATATCTTTAAGATCTTCAATTTTCACGTATCCGCTTATATCGGCCGCATGACCATCGCTCGAGGTGCTTATGTTATTGAAATAATGAATATCTTTCTCTCCCTTTCTTGAATGAAACAAAGGACGATCAGAATTTGGAGAAGAGTGTTGAGTGGCGGCTAAGTCATTAATGAGCAGTTCGGTATATGTTTTTGTGCCAGTGATGTTGAGTGCTTCGGTGCTAGGTCTACGTTGTAATGTTGTCGTTGACGATTCCGACGGATTACGATAACGTTTCTCTTCTGCTGACTTCCGTCGGAATTTCATAGGTATATTACCTGTTTTACGTTTTCTTGATGACGTTTCAGTATGAGATATATCTGAACTTGATGTATTTGATGATCTATATTTATCCAAACCATATTTACGGCCCCACATTTTCAAAATCAAGTGGAATATTAGTATTTGAACACAAGTAAAACATACACAACACAGTATAATATTTCGAACCGAGATTCGTTCGGTTAAATTTTCCAAATCGTTGCGTAACTTCTCATTTTGCTCGAAAATCTCCTGTTTTCGCTCCAAATTTCTTCGACTTTGTTCCTCGATGTTCACCAAAGTTTTTGCAAAAGAAGCTTGCAGATCTTCAACTTGCTTCTTATACCGGCGACTTAATTCTTCCAAATATTGACCCGACAATGACATATTGAGCTCCAAAGCCTGTGAATAATTAAAAACAAAATCAACCAAATATTCTATGATAATTTTCATTTTTATATATTTAATACCTTTACTCGATTTGATAATCGCAAAAATACACTTTCGCTGTGTAATTTCTGACCCAACTGCTGTGAATTTCCGAATCCATTGTTTACTTGCTCTTCGCTTGCATCATTCAAATCGATAGTAGGTGTTTGAGTTGTAGTAGGTGTCTCTGGCAGTATCATGACACTCGGTGGTGTAATTTCTTGTTCAGTACTTGTTGTACTTGGTTCTGTTATAGTTTCTGTAGATATTGGTACTTCAACTAAAATATTCTGTGATTCTGTATTCGTCTCATCGCTGGTGTCAGCCACATTGAAGATATTTTGTCCGTTTTTACTATCTTTAACGTCTTCGCTACTTTCTATGACCGGAGATGGTGTCGTCAATTCAATTACGTCGTTTTCAATGTTTTCCATATTACGATTTTCATTCGATTCAATTTCGTTGCTGTGTTCCATACTCTCAGAAGTAATAACTGGTCGTTGTTCCATTTGCAATTTATTTTCGGCATTATTTTCTTGAGATGTGCCACTTTGCATTGGATCTGTTTGGACAATTTGAGGCGTTGGTTTCGGTTTAACTTGATGTTCTCTTGGCAACAATTGACTACGGGCCTTTTGATCAATTGTAACATTAATTGGTGGGTCAGCGTTAATTGGAATCGTTGAATTCCATGCAATTTTCCTGTCAGCCGCTGCTAGTAAGTTACACATTGCTGTAATGTTAAAATATATAGATTAAATAAAAGCGCTCAAAGAAATCAATTACTAAATCTACCTGTAATGTACTTCAATGAGAACAAATTAATGATATAATCCATTTGCAAATCAGTTAATTGTTTTGAAGTCGTGCTGTTTATATCCGGTGGTTCACTACAGTTAATGTTTAAGTCCGAGCCGATTAATGTATTACAAATTCTTGATTTGTATATACTATCTCGAATGATATTAATGCTCAAAAGGCGCTTTAATAAATTCTGCTTGCATTCAACCAGTGCAGTAATTTCGTTTGTCATATCATGTGAACATATTTCGCAATTGATCACATGATTCGGTGAGATGCAATTGTCATTCATTATATTTTGATTCGATACATTTTGCGAACCATTGTCAATGGTTTTGTTTCCATTTGGTTTAACAAATGATGCGGCCTTCTTCACAGTATCAACAAGTGACATTACAGCATCGCTGGCTGATTTAAATATGTTGGTTTTACTTTTATTTACGTCTGACTCTTGTACAACGTCGTCATCATCATCGATATCATCAATAACAGGATGCTGGCGATTTTCTGTTTCGAATGCTTCAAACTCAGATGTTCCATAGACGCGAAATAACGAGATCGGACAAAAGTGTTCCGAATTATAATGTGAGTGTATGTCAACTCTTACATATTTACCAAAAAGGTGTGGATGAAGATCAAACGATTGTATGTATCGTTCATCTTTGGCGATAAACTTGCCCACATTCGACCAGTCACGTGTTGGAAATCGACTGCTCACACCAACTGAAAAGTTTTTTGGTGACGATGAAAACAGTTCAAAATTAGCCAAATCGATTCGTTCTGCCTGAATTGCTTCACATAATTCAACTATAAACCATATGCGACTTTTACATGGGCTTAGTAAGTATTCGTCTCTTGTTGAAGTTAAGACATATCCTGTGCCCGATGATTCCGTATTTGCCGCTACAATCTTAGCACCGCAGTCTGGCGAAGCATAATTTTTTGAGTTTTTCAGTTTAAGTATTGGTTGTTTGTTAGTTGCTGATGTATTCTTTTTCATTGTAGATGTATTAACAGCTTCTTGTTCAACCTCTTTTTCAACTTCCTCCAAACGTTTCTGAGCCCATTCTGAAAAAACTGGAATTTGATTCTCCTCCGTCAGATCTTTTTCTATTGAAGTATTATTGCTTTCGTATTCCATTTTGGGAACATCAGCATCAATTGTTTCAAGCAATGATTCATTTTGATCTGCAACGGAACCATGTTCAGAGTCCACTATTGTGGAAGCTGTAGTCTGCGGTTGCAAAATACTTGAATCATTTTTATCCGCTTCCAAAAGATTTTCGCCATCGCCTACTATTGAGGCTTCTACTAAAACATCTTTGGATGCATCGTCTACAGAAATTGCAGTGGGTGTCATCGGAACGTTTGAGACCCTGTGAATACAAAAAAAAAAAAACAAATCATTTTTATTTGAAATGGGAAGAGATCAGCAAATAAAGTGACAAAATAGAAGTTTCCAATATTTGTAAACCTCACTATATATTATATATACTATACAAGAACAAAATTAACTCGATCGTTTTAAACAATACACTCGCTGATTTTTAAAGACATACTCACCGGCTAAGCCAAGCGGATATAGCGAATATATGAGAGAACCACAGAGTCCAACATATTGAAAGTAACACTGTGATGCTTTTCATTTTGATAGAGCTTTGAAAACATTCGATTATGAAATACATGTGTACAGGTTTATTACCCAACACTGTGTTTGACAATTATAATTATTTATTTTATATCAATTTTTCTTTCAAAAAAATATTGTAGGGTTGCGTGTGATCATTCAAATATTCATCATTCTAAAAGAAAATGAAATAATGGCCAATTTTTTCCAACGTGTCACTATTTTGTTCTACCAATAAATTACTACACATTGTTTTCTAATAAGGAAATTATTTGAGTGAAATATTACGTGAATTTTGCATATCTATAAATATATGTTAGTGAAATTGTCGTATTTCCATTTTATTCGGTTTCACAAACACTTTTGTGAATGGGCCAATTTTTAACTTGGCACTTTCTAGAACAATAGTAGGATTTTTCACATTTAGAGCACTTTTTAAAAGCTACAGCATAGCATTCAGCGCAATAATGTTCTTTACTTTGGTCTTCACTCTTTTGTTCATCCAGTTTTTCCAACAGTTCAACATTATAAGTCTCACTCAAACGCTTTGCTATGTTCATCATATGTGATGCTTCCAAATGGAAAAATCGTTGCATATGGTGTTCAGCAATTTCTTTGTAGCCGAATTTTTTGGCGTTATAAACAATTTGATTTTTTATTTCGGGCACTTCTTCCAAGATAATATTTCCAGATTTGTAATTCGAATTCGTGAGGCTTAAAGTACAGAGTCGATGTTTTAAATCGGATAATGGTGGTAGCTGATCAAGTAAGTTCACGCTTAGCAATTCTTGACATTTAGAAATTTCCCGCTGTCGAAATTCGTTTATTTCGTAAAAATTGATTGCTTCGTTGCTAAACAGGAGCTGCCGTAAACAGAACCAAGCGTGCGCCTCAACTTTGGTAACTTTGATCATATCAATATCATTGATTGAAATCCATTTGTCATCGATATGTTTTTCTACGCCATTTCTATTACGTATCCATGGTTGACAATTTAGAACCTCGCTCAATAAACATGGAACATCATGAGTAACTACCATGCGTCTGACTACACTTATTGGCAATGCATCGATTTTATCAGCAATAAAACTTAAAATGGTCAAACAACGAAAACCAATTTTGTACTGCAAATCTTTTTTTTGTCGTTCTAATTCTTCACTGGCGCTTTCTGCTTGCAATTTTTTTGAATCAACATTTTCTTGTACATCTTTCAAATGATTTAAAGCGATAAGCTGAACAACCGCTTGTGTACAATAGTCAATTAGGTCTATGGTAATATCACCAAGCGCTTGACAACCATTTTCATGGTATAACATTATCTCCAGCAATGACATCGCAATAGCTTCGTGATAAAGTATTGTATAGAGAAAAAATGTTGAATTTGAGTCACGTTCATTCATCAACATTTTGGGAAGGACTTTGGTTCGCCAAACTAGAACGCAATATGCTTCGTGCACCAAAATTTCAAGTTTATCATTCGAAATAAACAATTCTTTCACCAACTCTTCACGATGTGTGGACGCTTCTAATATTGCTTGTTGGTTGAACTTAATGAGCATTTCATGCTGTTCAAACCATTCGGGTGTACCAATATCAATCACTTGAAACTTTTTTATACTGTTTATGAAAATATCAAATTCAGCCGCTGGGATAATATTATCTTCCATTTTGTTTCAAATTCTTTTCTAGTATCACCAAATTATCAATATCAAATCAAAACTAATTATTTGTTCAGATGTTTGGAGTGATGACAGAATAAAAATGACAATTGAATAAACTTCACCGGTTGCTAAGTTATTGATTGTGCTTGCGCATTTGTTTGCTAAAATAACCAAAGACAAACCAAATTATATTCATTTTATTCTGAAATTATAAGATGCGATAGTTTCATTTGCAAGTCATATTGTCTGATACTTTGGCACATTAGACATTTATAAGCTTTGTGTTGAATAAAATTTTTGTTAAAAAATCTGTCTATTTTCACGAATTATTGGTGAATGCAAAACAAAAACAAATAGTTTAACATTTCTTCGGAATTGAATCGATTAAACATCAAGAAATTGGATGATCAAGCTAAAAATAATTCCGTAAAAGGTTATTTTTATATTCTTCAAACTTGCACTCAACAATCAATAACTAATTATTGTCGTTTTGGGAATTCAAATCCGCTGAATAAATAATATCGATCTATATAATTCATATACCATAATGGTTAGTTTTGTCCATTAAACTATACAATAGAATATTGTTACAAATCATGCATTATAATATTTTCAAAAAATTCAACTTGATTTGTAATTACTCTTTATGCGACAGATCACCCGATTGACCTATTGAAGCTATATAGAAATTGAATAAACTCATAGTTAATTTCAAAACCACTGCGGGCATGAAATGCCTGAGTACGAATAAAAGTGTATGAGTTTTAGTTCACAATATTGATAAAATAGCAATAATAATATAGTTTTTGATTTTTTGTCATCAGTTTGATGTCACAGAAGCTATAAATAAACAAAAACACATGTGTGCAATTTTTTTTGTTTCATATTGGGGTAAAAAAAGTGAACGCGACTCAGAAAATAGCAGCAGCACATTGCTTTCACATTTATTCTGAATATTTCTCATGACATTTTTCACCTAAAAATAATAAATTATTTAAATTATCGATTTTCACGATATTCAATTAATTATAGTTATTTGTACTGCATTTAGTTAACCAAAAGAATTCTAATATGTTTTTTTTTTCACAATTTTGATCATGTTTATGTACTGAACGTAGATTAAAGAGTTTTTGCGTATAATATTTCCACAAACAAAACCAAATATACATTGTTTACTTGTAAAATTGGCACTTGGATTCATTCAACTTATGACGCAGATGCCAGTGTATATATATGGCATCACACATTCTAAGCGATATGATCATTATAGTATATACATAATTTTAAACGTAAAAGCTCGGTCGTCTCTTGAAAAATAATCAACAAAACCCCGCAACAACAGCCCGCTATTTATTAACTGAATGAACTTGTAAATATGTTCGCGTAAATTGTTGATATTAAGAGCGGAATGAAATTCTAATCATTTATTCAATTCATAACAGAAATGAAAACACACAACTGACTCTCTTGCATGTTCGATAACAACTACGCTATGGAGCAAGCGCCTCATTTGCCCCGTTCACTTGAGATAAAAAAACGATGAGTTCGTTTCAGAAGCAGTTTTGCAGCGTCAACGTATGACGAGTTATTCACATATTCTGATAATAAAACGAAATGCTCGCAAGCGTTTGGAGGAGATTAAATATGCCGTTTATGCTTTAATCTTTTTCGAAATTTATATTCATTGAGTCGCTTGTATTTTTTTAATTAAAATAAATTGAAATACCAACCAACATGGAGGTGTACGGTTCAATTAAATTATCAGTCTAATAAAAAAAATTGCGACCGTATTTTTAAACGAGTTTTCGTTAACACGTTTCGTTTCACTTTCAACTATTTTAAAAGCCTTTTTTGGAAATATTGTGAGTATTTGTTTTCAACAATTTTTCTATGAACAGTTGAACAAAAACCAGTTAAGCTGTAATCAATCTATTGAAGGAAGTAATCTAAAGAAATACGCGATTGCAGCTACAACCATACAAAAACTGTGTAAATTATTCATGTGAATGACTTCTTAGGTAAAAAACAGTTTTCTACGATCCTGTAAGTTCGTCAACACCAGTCGGCACAAAATATATAGTACTTTTGAACTACCTACGCATCGAAGCAAT